GACTGCAAATGGGATTATATAAACGCCCATAATTCGTTACATGTGGTAATTAGCTGGCCATTACGTGTACGGTAATCGAAACAACAAACTCTATTACATATACACAGAAGGCTAAAGTGCACTAGTGCATAGACAAAGGGATTAGTGCAAACAATAACCATTTCCATCAGCAAGAACGTTAAAGGTAATCCTCCAGTAAAAAATATTTTTCTTCTGCTGGTGGTTATAGTGTTAGAATACTGGTTTAATATCACTTTCACATAAATATCAGATATAACAAGCCCGTGAAACTGATAATTTTCTGCATGATTAAGTGTTGATTATAGGGTTTAATGGAATGTTGTCTTTATACTATTTTGGTCTTGTGAGAGAATATTTGTCAATGATGTATTCTGTTTTGGCTTATGTTTTGCGGATCGTAACTTTTATTTTCACGCGAAAACAAATTAAAGTAGTTTAGAACAAATATACGTGTACAAATTAGAAATGCACGCAGTTTTACATGTTTCTTTTACTACGTACACTTTATTTTCTCAGAAAGAAGGTTTTCTATATCTAAGAGCAAATAAGTAGGACTTTGGTTAACTAATGAGCTATAACAAAAACAGTCATAAATTCTTGTTAAAAGTAAACTATTGACATTGAGAACAGAATCGAACGAGAAACAGATAAATGTATATACGAAATTTTGTTGCTTTCTCTAAATTTAGTATTATTCAGCGAGTTGATATCTAAAGACATCTGCTGTTATTATTTGCCTGTTAGAGAAATATCATTGGAAATAACAAAAGTACCATTTTTATTAAATACACGAGATCTGAAACTACAAGCTTTAGGCTAATAAATGATTAAGTAGTACTAGAACTATGAAGAAGTTTAGATCTGAAGAACGAGATAGATGATGGGGAGTTGATATCTATACATAGTATAATTCGATCATGAAGCACGAACACTGATCGAACTATCAGCAAAATACAAGCAAAATCAGAGTTCATTGTTTAGAAATGCTCCCTCGTTCGACGCTACAATGTGTTCGATTTTTGATCAGGATTTGAGCTTTTAAAACCTATAAAAGTCTCTGGGTAGTGTAGTGCATGTAGACAACGACCGAAAAACTCAGGATAATTTGACTTGATTATACTGAATACATATGCACTCTGTGTGCGGGGTAAAAGCTTTTCAAGAGTTTACAGAGTGATTTAATTCTTTCCTAGTCGTTTTATTAGCTCGAAATATTAACAATTTTGTTTTTTAATTTAGATGGTATCGGGTTAGAAAGTCAATCACAATGTCTGCTATACTGAGTGATACAGACAATTTTCAACGTCAGCCAAATGGTTTAACATATTTACCTTATAACGATATCATCGATGATAATCCATTTCTGGATAATGGAATATCAGAGGAAATTTCAAAACTGTCTAATATTCCACTGTTAATAGTTGAAAATAATCAGAATACTTATAGTCATAATTTACCACAAACCGATATACCCTCATTATCATCAAATCATTCAATATCAAGCATAATAACAGATAATAACAATAATGCATTATCAGTTCAGACATCCAATAGTCTAGGTAAAAAACTGCTGTAATATTCACTTTAATTAGTTAGTTAGCAAAGCGGACTGGGAATCACTTAAATGTTCACTGTTGAAATTTAAACTAACGTATAGCTGTATTATTTAGGTGATCTCAGTTCCACACCATTATTAGATGGTGGTGGTTGTCCACCGTTGGAATCACCGACTCCATCATCAACAGTCGAGCATCCTATTCAACAATCTCGTTCATTTCCATCTACATCTTCGACCACGACCACAACTGACTCATTGTCAACATCCTCAAGTCATTCTTCATCTGATCAGAAAAAGACAAATTATATCCTTATCGAGCCTTCCCTTGAAATAACAAGTGAGGATCAACAAGATAAACAACAACAACAAGTGCTACCACCTGTCATTAAATCAAAAGCACCATCCCCACCCTCATCTAAATGTGATATTATCACTCAAAAATCATTACCACAAAATTCTACCGGTGATTATCAACAACAACAGGAATGTTTTCTTCCAACACGATCTTCGTATTATGAGCCTCAAAAAGATGAAATAAATGAAATGGTTTATTCTTCTGTCGAAACACGAATTGCAACACCCCCACGACGACGAGAAATAAGCCATCGGCATGGTAGTGCTGATAGGTTATATCATCTCGAACGAGAACAACAACGTCAGTCAGAATATATGAATCGTTCATCAAGTTCCGCATTTTATCCGTTAAATTATGCAAATGTACGTCGAACGACAACATTTAGTGGTGGTGGGACACATTATAATGAACAACAGCAACAGATGATTATTAATAGCCTCGAACATGAGTTACATTTAACAAAAGAACAACTGAACTCAACAATCCGAAGTATAAAAACATATTGGAGTCCAGAATTGAAAAAAGAACGATTAATTAGAAAAGATGAGCAATTAAAACGTTCAAAACAAGCAGATAATCAGGTATGTAAATCACAACAATCCTGCCTAGCTTATGTCACTAAACAAATATTGTTGTTTTTTATCTCTTAAGGATTTTTATGTTCAAACATTAGAAACTCAGTTACATCAATTACATGATGAGTTAGAACAGTATCGTCAACATCGATGCCCAGTTCAAGGATCTATTGTACATCAACAACATCAAGATGTCGTGCAAGCAACCGATCAAACATCTCTAATAGAAACATTGAAAAATAATGAAAAGAATTTAAAAGATAAACTTGATCAATTTCATAACGATATACACGTAAAAGAAAACGAATGTACGACATTGAAAGCAAAAGTGGATACGTACGAAAGTAAAGAAAGAGATTTACAACATTATATAACTATATTAAAAGAATCGATCATGATCAAAGATCAACAAGTGACAATGGTACAATCAGAAGTAAGTGGGAAGGCGATTGAGAGACAATACTCACGAGGGAATGTTTTTAAGTACCCCTCGCTTTTTCAACAAAACCTAGTGGGTTATAGGTTATCGATGATGCTGATTCCGAATATGAATATGAGAACTGCCCTTAGGACTTCGAAGGCCTGGTTTTCTGAAAAACAACCAAAACTTTTTTTAATGAGTCATGCTTGTAGCCCCCACATTTCTGATTAAAATGAGACATCTCCCAGCTCTACATGATCTTTCTTTGCAAAGTTATAGGATTTACAAGAAAAGCTCTAAATTAATTAATTCTTATTTCTGTAGCTTTGAGTTGACAATGAATATTTAGGACTTTTCTTGTAAATTCTATAACTTTGCAAAGAAAGATCATATAGAGCTGGGAGAGGTCTCATTTTAATCAGAAATGTGCGAGCTACAAGCATGGCTCATTAAGAAAAGTTTTGGTTGTTTTTCAAAAAACCGGGCTTTCGAAGCCCTAAGGGCAGTTCTCATATCGGAATCAGCATCATCGATAACCTATAACCCACTAGGTTTCGTTGAAAAAGCGAGGGGCACTTAAAAACGTTCCCTCGTCAGTTGAGGCTGATGTAAGGAGATTATCAAGAATTTGTTTCGAGATCTTTTTGGCTTGCGTAATATGTTATTTATTTCGCAAGTTTTAAAATCCAACAATCAATATTATACTTCATATCTTTCAGGGGTATACAATCTGTCCGTTTTCTCCGTTTTCTTTCTTATTACTATTCTTCGTTTAGACCTTCTAGTGTCTTTTAGCCTTTTACTTCCTTCAGTCTTTATACAGTCAATGTATGGTTGGTCGCAGCTTGTATCTAACATAATGACTGAAAGAAGTAAAGGATAAAATAAAATTTGAACAGCAGCTAGAGTCATTTGATTTTTATTTATTTCGATGTTTCGAAAATTTACATTTTCATTTTCAAACAAATTTATTTACACACTATTTGTATCGTATTTTTTGAAAATGAAAATATAAATTTTCGAAAAATCGAAATAAATAAAAATCGAATGACTCTGTATATAGGTGGTGATAAAATTTTATTTTTACTTCAACTATTACCCATCAAAAATTTAAAAGAAATAAAGAACTAAAAGGCATAAGCAGTTAGCCATCATTATACTTTATATACTTCAAAGCCAAAAAGATCTTGAAATAAATTTTGTATCTCCTTTTATCTCTGACTATCTCTAAGTTTCTTTTAAAAAAAGTTTTCAAAATTTTCTTTTAATATTGCAGTGAATCAACGGAAATCTTTGTTCAGATAAAGTTGTAGAAGAGTTCACAACGTATTCACTAGTTTTGCCTGAATTTGGCTGCATACATGAAAGTATTTTTGAAACGAAGCTGCTGTCTTAAAAATATCGCTCATATCGCTCATATTGACAAATATGATGACAATACACAATGTTGAAGGTTTTAACCATGATAAAGGCTTAAAATAGTAATAGATACTCAAACCGCTATTCAATTTTTGTTATTACTATTAAATGATTGTATAATGCTGACATTTTGCGATTCTTTTCGGAATATTACATTCTTTTTTGTATATTATTTAGGTTAATGATCTTCGGACACGTTTGAAAGAAAAAGATTCAGTCATTGAAAGTAAAAATTTAAAAATTCAATCGACTCGACTAGAACGACAACAATCTGATGCCGATTTAATCGAATCAAAACAACAATTAGATATTAAGGATAGAAAAATTAATTTACTCAATAGAAAGGTAAGTTTAATTATACGGGATTGATGTGCATATAAAAAAGTCCTCCCTCTCGAATCAGAAACTTATCTCGTTAATCATAAGTCGAACCTTGAGGAATGTTGACCATGTCGAGGAATAGTTACGATAAAGTTTTAAAGGCTCCATCTACTTTCGTTTAATAGATTAAAATACATTTTTAACCGAATAAAAGTTAGTGTGGAGGAAAATATCTTAAAGGATTTAACCCTTTTGTTCAGCAAATGGTATGATCTAAAATGTTTTTCACGGAGGAACCATTTTCCAGAATCCGTCCTGCCTAGCTCAATTACTCCGGAAATCGTGTCGGTCAAAAAAATCATTTTGTACTCCGCGCTGGAACTTCGTAGCATCACTTTGGAAATGTTTCATATGACACTATTTTTGCCTCTTCGATGTCGATATTGTTAAATTTTTCTGGTTGAACTCGCAGAGCGTCATGTTTTATTTCAGAATACTTAGAGTATTGCATACAAAAATAAATCAAATACTTTGTGTTGATTTTTTCTTTTTGCAGAACTGATGATGATAATATCATTTACCGTTTCTGGGTTTAGATTAGATTCGTTGTTGAGTAATGACCGCACCTGCAGTCGGAAAAAAAATATCGCGGAGGTACCACTTCGCGCTAGTCTCGATCCATGAGAAAGCCCCCTTTGCCATCTTTCACAGATTCACCCGTACATCTCAGGTTTCCATTGTTTATTTTGTCCTTTGTTTTCTAGATTGAAAATTTAGAAGAACAAGTAAAAGATAAAGTATCTCAAATAGCGAATACACGTGCTAAATTAACAAACACATACCAGACACAACAAAATCAATTATTTAATTCAACATTAATGCCACATTTAGAACAAACATTACAAGATAAAGAACGACAAATTGAAAAATTACGTGAACAAAAACATACGCTTGACGTTGAACATCAAGATGAATTAGAACAAATACAAAAAATATTAAATGATACAAGAGAAAAGTTAGAACAAAAAGAAAAAGATTATTATGAAGGACAAGTAAGTATCGACTATAATATCATTTATAAAATCAATTTATTTTCTTCTTTTATTTTAGAGTCAAATAATAGAACTGAAAGAACAATTGAATAATACTAAATCACAATTGACACGTCGAGAATTATTGTTACAAACATTAGAAGGAAGTTTAAATGATAAATATGAAGAATATAAAAAACGTTTTAATAAAGAACAACAAACACGACAACAACAACAAACAACTCAAGATCGAAAAGATTTAGAAAAGTTGATATTAGAAAATAAAACGTTACAAGAACAATTACAAACTTTTGAGTTAGAACGAAATCAAACACAACGTGAAATTGAATGGATGCAATTAGAATTAAATGAAACTAAAATAAAAGAAGAAAATATTGAACAACAACAAGAACAAGAACAAGAAGAACAAATGAAAAAACAACAACAACGAATTGAAGAATTAGAAGAAGCTGTTAGAGAAAGTTTACAAATAACGACGGAAAGAGAATACGCTATGGCACAACAAAGAAGAAAATTAGAGAATTTAGAAAAACAGGTATAAAGAGATTTATTTTTTTTCATAAACATTGAAATCGTACAAGACGATTTTTATTTCAGATAAAAACTTTACAAACTGAAGTAGATCGTTTGAGAGAAGAAAATCATGAACAACGTCATCTTCTAACACAATGTCACCATGATTTGAATGAACGAAAAAAAGACTATGAAGCAAGAATTGAAGAACATATTAAACAGTTGGACAATGCGTTTATTTCACAGTATGATCAATTCTTAAATTATCAAAAAAAAAGATGAATTAACAATATGTTCTTAATTTTAGACAAGAAAAATTATTAGGTGAACTTAGTGAAAAAGATTCACAAATAGCTGATTTAGAAATGGATCCACAAGCACATCGTATACAAATAAATAAATTAAATGGAGAAAAACATCAATTACATAATCAGCTCAAAGAATTAGTAAGTTAAACCAATGATGAATGAAAATTTTCTAACTTTTTCTCCTTTTTCTAAAGGTTTTTCTACAATTGTATAGATTAGACTTTCTTTGATATTACAAAAAGACTGATTTCGACGAGAATGTCAGTGTTAACACATAATTTTTCAGGAATTCATCATTTTGTTGAAACAATGCTTTGAAAGTTCTTTTACACTACGCAAATAATCACGATTAAGCATTTTCTAGTGTAACCGAAATTATTCTGGATCATGATTAACAATATTTAATCACGTTGAACACAAATGTATGTGACCACACGATTCACGATTAAAAAGATAATGATGATTTAACTCGCGATAATTATAACTATAAATACATATTTTTTCAGCATTTCAGCATTTTTTACACTCATGATTTTCAAAATAATCGTGATTAAAGTAGCGGTTACATTACTAGTTTAATCAGGATTAACAATCACGATTTAAAGATAATCGCGATTATCTGCGTAGTGTGTGACTGTAGTGTAATAATTTAAAAATTATTAAACGGATCCAATTTGAAATTAATCTCTTCTTCATCAAAAATTGCAACATTTAACGTCACGTATTGTTAATAATATATTCTAGAAAATAAAGATAATAGATCGATATAATATATCGAAACGACTCTGTATATCTATAAATAAAAACTTTTTGTATTACGTCTTGTACTGGAGAAAACCTGTTCGATTATTTCTTTTATTATTTTAGACTGAAATTCGTATGAAAATTATCCAAAACCATATGGCAGCAAAAGAATTAGATGAAAAAGAGCATTCATTAAGTTATCCACCAGTAAGTGTTAGAAATACATTGCAGTAACTAACTCATAGTGCAATATCGTAACAGTGATATTCGTAATTTTTTGTCTGTATGTGCTTATTTCCTAGCTTGCTTTTTATGTTGAAGGGTGATCAAACTTCTTGAAATTGTATCATGAAACTAGAATATTAAGAGGTTTGTTATTTGGTTTCTATTATATATCTAAGATGATGTTATTTGTCTGATGAAAATTAATTTGTCTCACTTTCTTTTGTTTTATTTAGCCTTACGATGCTGATGGCATTTCATATTGATAAAATTTTAAAAAAAAAAAAATTATATTGATAAATTGCTTGAAAATTCAAGATATCTGTTTTATGCATTTATTCTTGACAGCATTATTTATTGTTTTATTTCTATTTTTATTTTATTTTCTAATATTTTTTTGTCAAATAAAAATTTATATTCCGCGTGTTTTTTTTCTTTTTCTTATAGATATCGTATAATTCCTTTCTTTTCTACGTGCGTTTGCCGTTTGTTTTCTTCTTTTTGTTTTTTTGATAAAAAAACTGTGTTTCTTTTTTTACAATTGTTCTCTGGTCTATTTCTGATATGTTTTGTACATTTTCTTTTTCTTTTGCATACATACGAACCCTCCTTTAGTTGAATACAGTGTTTTGTTTATCAAGACAATAATATGTATTATTTGAAATTAATTTATTAATAAACAAATAGCAGAAGATGATATAAACCTATGTTAAGAGTGTAATATAAGTTATACGTAATAAGTTTAGTTTCCGATAACTATCATTTCTTCCACTTATATCTGTCATGACGATCATCTGATAGTCATATTATCCGTAATTCTGTATATGTAGACGTGTCTCTGAGATTATTCGTTGCTCTTTCTATTAGGTTTAAAATAAACATTTTTTAACAGAAAATGACAAGAAAATCTAAAATAGCAAACTGTTGCTTTTCAAAATTTGAATGATATTCATAATATTGATGTGAAATTAGATCATCTATTTTTCAAATGATTAAAAGTTATGTAACTATATCTCAATTTGTGTATTGATGGTACTGAACGGTTAATTGTTGATATATGTATAGAATTAAAAATTTAAACATTATGATCTTGATTTATATTCAAACTATCACTATCCTAAACGTTGTTCTGCTAAAATGGTCAATTCAATATTATTGTCAGATATTCATGATTTTCTGTTATATCGTTCGTAGATTTTATGCATGATATGTCCATATTCGTTTTGATTTTATTATCATTTGATCATTAATCGAAGTACGATCTTTATATTTGTGATCAAATAAGTACATGTATATCCATTTTGAAATAATCTTAGAAACCCGTATTATTTTATTGTCATTATCCAAGTCCATTGTTGAAAAAATTATATTGGTATATCATTGATTCTTTAGAATCATATGCAACAGATTTAGTGGATAAAATATTAGTAAATAGTCAATATACAAGAAAAATGTTTCATTAAACATTTGATAAACTAATCAATATTTCAACAGTTAATATTCTTTATCCAATAATCAATGAGTATGATTTGAACAATCAAATAATTGATATTATTTGCTCGTGTATAACATACCATCGTTAGTAGAAACACTATTTCTATCAATTAACCGAGAGGAAAAGAAAAGATTTACAATTAGCCATAGAAACATGGCACATTTACAATCATCATTAATAAATGAGCAATAAGAACGAGCTAATATTGTTGTATTGTTTACAATGTCGAATATTATTTGAAACTGAATCGATTGGTTTATGATCTCTCATTTGAATCCAATGTCACATTAGTTAAATCATTTACGAATCAATAAAAATTAATCTATTTGAATCGATGTAAATGTGCGTTATATACACCTCAGTCTGAAGATTTCGATATTGTGCAGTATAAAACAATATATGTCAAACGCTCGTATATAGCAACCAACACCGTTAGACCATTAGAAACAGTTTTAGATAGAAAAATAGACTATTTATGTAAGTCAATTAAGGAGTTATTTGATGGTGGACTTTAATTATTTATTGATCAATCGCATCTTTATTTAGAATTAGATGGACAAAGACGATGACATACAAAAATTGAATTTCAAATATTTGCTGATCAGATTGATATATTTGTTCAAGAATTAATTAATGAAAAAGAGAAATTAGAACAAGAAATAGCAGAAAATTAATGATCTTTTTATTAGATGCAATTATTTTTAGTTATCCATTTTTATCAAAATATAGTCATATTTGCCATAAAGGGATGGACACAATAGAGGACCCGGGTCTTATATCGTGTCCTAGCGCTCATAACTTTGAAGGGGGTCTTCTAAAGCGTCCCTAAAAAAAGCCGATTTTGAGCTAAAATCACTTGATCGAGAGTTTGGACTGTGTATAAAGTTATTGATTCAGCTGATGACCTTTGTTTATTTTTATTTTTTTACCATTCTTGCCGCTGTGTATTCATTCACTCTGACAGCTGAGCAAAAAGAGGAACGTAAAAATTATGTTTGATTGAATCCCAAAATCATCATATTTTAGGTAAAAAAATCGATAAAAAAAGGGGGTCTTCTAAAGAGGGGTCTTGTAACAGGGGAAAGAGTCCTGTAATGTGTCCATCTCTTTATTATTATTTTTCTGTTAAGAAGTTTTTACTTTCAGAGCCTTTTTGCTTGAAAAAATTTAATGTTTTTATACTACACGGCCGATTAATCCACTACGAGTAATCTTGACACATCTATATGCGTTTTTTTTTCTCACTCTTAGACAAAAAAAAAACAATAATAGCTTGTTTTCTGTTTTCTTTGATCATGGATTTATTCTCTGATGGAAATTTTGAGCAATGTGTACATCAACAGTTCATATCAACGTGGAAATGGTAGAGGGTCTACATGAAACATATTCATATTGTAGTGCAGTGTCACACAACAATGTAGACATTTCTTGTCATCAGTATGACTAGAATTTTTTTCTTAACTAGATACTCAATGTATTGTGGATCAATGTATTGATTCCATTTGAAGATCAACTCTACTTCATTTCTGTTTTAGCTTTATGTACAACTCTGACTATTTTTAGATGTTGATATAGAAATTTAAATTATTAGCTAATGAGTAATTTATAGATGTTCGAATATTTTTGAATAACAGCTCGATAATCTTAATAATTATCGTCTAACAACTGTTTTTGTTGCTTTTAACTGGTTGACAATATCAAACATCATCATATCCCATTGCATTTTATGTTTATTTTATCGATCATTTTCTTACATTATTAACCAATTTATTCATCTTTAATTCAGATCATTAAGTTTGTTATAACATCTTGATAAGTCAAAAAAATAGAACCAAACTGATATGTTTAACATAGATTGAAATTCATTTATCTTTGCTAAATTGTTACTATTGTAATGCTGATATAAATGAATTATATTTTGATAGTATATCAGCCATCTAATGTTTTCGACAAAATATTTTTATATAAATTATTAACATTTTTTGATAATATTGATCTTCATGTACATTACTAACAATAACGAGCGAGCAAATATACGTTGAACAAGAAAATGATTCATTTGTAACGGGAGATTATTGTTGTTTTTGATGAAAATCTTTTATCTTGTGATAGACAAACAAAACTGTATTGAACTGTCGATTTCTTCACTTTCCATAAATATAATTAAAATCTAAAGAAACGAGAAAATTTGCATCGATATTCTTCTACCTTTCTATCGTTTAGATCTATTTTTATCCTTGGAATTATCATTCTATGCTCTTGTTCTGCTAGATTAGATGTATACTGATTTAGATGGAAGAAGTTATTTCCAGTGTTTGTGACACTTTGAGCGGTCGTCTCTCATCATATCAACGTCATTATATTTAAACGTGCTCAATTTTTTATGAGCATCAACTCCGATAGGCTTTCATATGAAGTAACGTGGGATATTTTTATAACAAAATTTTTCTTTATCTTAAGGGTCCCCCTAGTCAGAAAAGTAGATTTTCGTCCAAAAAATCGATTTTGAGATTTATATATGATTGAATAGTCCAAAGTGTCCTCTTTCCACCGGACTAATTTTTACGTCTTGAAAAATAGCTTTTGATGGTTTTCTGAAAGTCCTCCGATGAAAATGCTGTTCTTCATATTTTTTCACAAAGAAAGAACAGAAATATGGGTTTTTGACTACGCTGAATTCAATAAGCGTATGCAGAGATATGCGTGATATGTATTTTTGAATATGCAGTGATATTACAATAAGAAAAAGCGTATTTCCATATGGAAACAAGCTAGAGTAAGCTGGAATAATTGGAACCAGGCATAGACTTTTTCTCAGTATTTTTACGAATGGTTAAGCCATTTTTAGTTGGAGAAAAATGGTGACTACACAGGTAGATGCATATGACTTTCAGCTATGCACTGATGTAAAAATTTATTATCGTTAATTTCCAGTACGTTGCTCTTAACAGGTTATAATTATCCCATTTGGGGTAATTATAACCAGTCTGATAACGTATTCCGCCAGGGTAACTATAATCCTCACAGCAAAAACGGCTGGGTCGATGCAAATTAACTTTGATCCAACGGTGAACTTTTACCTTTTCAATTAAAAATGAGTCCGTTTTGTAGAGAATTTCGAGCGTTATCCACCTCATGAATTGCCAGTTAATCAACTTTACCGTTATTTACTTAATGAGAAATTAGTGAAATCAAAAGAAACAGTCATTTTTTTCAATATACACGAACTGGGGAAATTATAACCACTCTGTGCAAATCACGCGGAATAAGGAAAAAATATTTTCCATAGGTTTCCAAAGACCGATTTTCATACCAGTCACATGACAGAATATGTTCAGAAGACCGTTATCTATTATTACACGTGAAAATGGAAAGAGAAAATAATGTTTTGTTCATCTATTCGTCTAAAAAGTAATAATTGTCAGTTCTCAACAACTTTTTCCTGTCAACAATATAGTTTGATAATTAAGTTATAAGCATAATTAGCAATGACATCGAGCAAAAGTTGAGCTATTCATAAACATTACAGCATCCTCTATCCGGTGCATCTTTTCTTTTTCTAAAAGAACGCTCTTAAAGTCTGATTTCCAAATGTGATTGTGATCGGTTCCCATTTAATATTTCAAATAAGTAAGAGGAAGTCAAAACTTTTGAGCTAGTTTCAATTATGAACCTGGAGGAGATGATTACAAACATGTAAGCGATTTCATGACTTAGAAACTTTGTACAGTATTATTCTGAAAATTTATTTTTCTCTATTATAGATTTTCATGAGCTGACAGTTGAAGGTCGTATAATTGTTCTTTTTTTTTTCTATTCCTTTATGAATGAAAAAAAATATTATATAGATATTCTTTTCTTACGATAAAGGTGGTAAACAATATTAGTGCATGAGAATCTTAGATACATTATTTTTAATGTATTTGATTAAAAATTTACACACTCTAATTCCATTCAAACCAGTAATCGGTGCACGATGATAAAATAAATACTTTCCTTTTTTCTTGAAAATTATGTATTTCTAGCATTGAAACTTAAGAATATAGATGTCGTCTATAACTCAGAATATGTTTACTGAATTCCTCATGGTCGAAAATCTATAGTAGAGTCTTGTTTCCATATGAAAATACGTTTTTTTTATTGAAATATCACTGCATATTCAAAAATATATGTCGCACATGTCTCTGCATATTCTCATTGGATTCAGCATGTGCAGAAACCTATGTGATGAAGTATAATTATATTTCTTTTAGCATGAGAGATGATTGATAATACTCATTTTTCATTTCGTAAACTTGTTTCACGTTTTTCTCAAAATCTCTTTTTACAACTTCAGCGTTTCATACTTCCAAGATATCTCCGTCATTTTTCGAGCTAGAAATTTCGGGTTGGTTTCAAAAAATGGAAAAATGTTTTTCTATGTCGCAATGTCGTTGGGTTTTTGAATTTAAGTTTAGTTTAGGAGAAATTTAAAAAGTTTCCGAAAAGTAAATCTCTCTAACTTTTCAGAAAATTTTTGAATTTCTCCTAAACTAAACTTAAATTCAAAAACCCAACGACGTCACGACATAGAAAAAAGATTTTTCTACTTTTTGAAACCAACTCGAAATTTCTACCTCGAAAAATGATGATGAAATTTTAGAAGTACAAAACCATACTTTTTCACCGCTAATTTAAGAATAACTCTGAGAAAACAAGTGATCAAAGGCCGAAATTTTTAGAATGACTAAGGGCATAACTGTTATTATTAATAGATTCCTTCAAAACTTTATGTAAATGTTTCAGTGTTAGTTTTATTTAATTCTAGATGAAAGACGTTATCTATATAACGTGTCCGAAATTACATGAATGTTTAAATAATATTCCTCAAATACAAAAACGTTCATATTTGGTTGACGGTCTCGTTAGTGCCTATAATCTAACAAAGTCAATGAAACTTGTTAGTCCATTATGTGCAAGTGAAAAAGATCTATTAACGGCACACGATTTAGATTATTTAAATTTTTTGAACTTAATTGGTACTATTGATGATAATGATCAAGAACCATATCGAGATGAAATGAATTATTATAAATTAGGCTATGAGTGTCCATCATTTCCACAATTAGCGTCATATTGTAAATGGATCGGTGGCGCATCATTAACAGCAGCGAAAGTTTTGAGTAGTCAACAAACACAAATAGCGATAAACTGGTTTGGAGGATGGCATCATGCCAAACGGTCAGAAGCATCCGGTTATTGTTATATAAATGATATTGTCATTGCCATAACTGAATTACGTAGAAAATTTGATCGAATTTGTTGTATTGATTTGGGTATGTTAAATAACAAACTCAAGTCATGTTTCTGTCTCTAGGATCAGACAACACTCTGATCGTGTACAGCATACTTGCAGATGTGTCTTACTAAAAGTAGAAAATCTTACTTCGTCACCTGGATAGGAACATGTTCACATCAAACTCGAATGTTATTTATCGTCTAACAGAACGTCGACTGCTCGATCAGCGAAAAATGATATACTCTAAATTGTAGAAAGGACTGACGTTGAACGTCTGACGATTTAACATTGAATATCTGATCGCCTAATGACAAATATTCGCAAGATAATTTAGGCTCCCTTTGCAACTACTCATAGAAGTGTTGAAGCGTTCATAGACTATTTAGAATATATCAGTTTTGAAGAGTAGTAAGTAATAATCGATCACTGCTAAGGACCGCAAATAACAAAAAAGTGCACATACCACGAATAAGTGAAAAAGTTGTTCGTGTTGTTTTTCATCCTATCTCGGACAACGTTCCTTTTACGGATTCCACATTACTCCTGGGAGAAATCCTGGTTTTCATCTTCTAATAGTTGACTCTTATTTGTGGCCCTGATCGTGTATATCAGTGCTTTGAGAGTTGACTCAGGTAACCACATGTTACTGATCACTGAGAGAATGCGATTGATAGTAACAGGAATATCTTCCTACTCGAGGTAATAATGTTCTTAAATATTTATAATAGTCAAAGTTATCTAATTTTTATACTATTCTAAATTTTTTTCAGCATTTAGAAATCTTTGTTATTAACATGAAGCTTTATTCTTCTAACAACTGGTTTAGAACTGAAAAATCTGACCGGAATCAGTTCTGAAATTTCGGAAATTGTCTATTTCAGAAAATTTAGTCCTGATTCCGTCATTAGATTCAGAGCTGTGTGAGCTGCTCAGAATTTTCATCCTTGAATCAGAAAGTGATTCAGCTCTGATAAAACTGCATAGCGGATTCAACTTTTTAGACCGAGCTGATCGTCCGCTAGTGTATTGTCAAATGAGAAAACTTCGTCCTTTTCTTTTTAGAAAAGCAAAAAAATACTAGAGATCAACTATCCTTCGGAAAGATTGAAAAGTCGACTGAGTGGAACGGTAAACAGACGAAACTAGAAGATCTAGAAACTCATATGTCTATGTACCTTCTACGACATATTATTCACATTGACATAACAGCTGATTCATTATTGTGTATGTAGAATAGCTTTTATCATATCAAGCACTGTTGCATATATTCACTATGAAAGATATCACGTGACAATTAATTATCTCATGCAGAAAACGGCGAAGTTCTTCAAAAAGATATGCTCATCTTCTAGGACTAATTATAGCTGAACTAAAGTATACATAGAAAACTTAACCTCAGATGTGTCATCTGCAACCGTTGTAGATTTGGCTGATCTTTTTCCCGACTCTCTACGATCAGTTATAATCTAGCACTAGTATCTGACTCGAGCGAGAAAAACGGTATGGAAAGAAATAAAGAAAGAAAGAAAGAAAGAAGAATTTTGCTAGGCAACTCTCGGCGTGAAAGCAATAATTTCGCTCAGTCGACTTAATGCTAATATTAAGTCATTTTTTTTCTTATAGAGCAAAATAGTAACAGAAGGAATGAAAAACGTGGTAGAACTTCTACCGTAGTAGGTAAAAAATTAACATAATAATCAAATTTTTGAGTAGTCAACAAACACAAATAGCGATAAACTGATTTGGAGGATAGCAACATGCCAAACGATCAAAAGCATCCAGTTATTGTTATATAAATGATATTGTCATTGCCATAACTAAATTACATGGAAAATTTGATCGAATTTGTTGTATTGATTTGAGTATGCTAAATAACAAACTCAAGTTATGTCTCGGTCTCTAGAATCATACAGCACTCTGATCGTGTATAGAATACTTACAGATGTTTACTTTAACGAATGTAAAGCAGTTTTGTAACATTAAACTTATTTTGAGTAAACAAAATAGTCTAGTCTTCTAAAGAAAGTGTACAAATTTTGGGATGAGAGTCAGATGTACGACAACACAAACTTCACATTGAACACCAAGAATTTTTTAATCTTTTATTAATAAATTTTGTTTAGATTGATGAACTAATATTTCTACAATAAAATGAGAAACATAAGTTTAAATAGTTTTAAAGATATTTTCAGACTCTTTGAATAAAAAACGTAGTAGAAGGTAAAAAATTAATATCATAGTAATCACTCTACGATACAGCCAAACCATAAATCATAATTCAATATTACATAGACATATACTGCTACACATACTGCTCATTATATATCTTTCAGATTATTCTTGCTGATGACTGATATAACACATTTTGATGATTTACCAACAGAAATTATATTGTACATATTTGATCACATAAAGCCGTTCGTATTATACACATTTTTTCATCTTAATCATCGTTTGAACAGTATAGTTTCAAATTATCAGTATGTGAAAAATGTGAATTTATCGAATGAATTACCATTTGAAATTGTTAAATTTTATTGTGATCATATAATTCCTTCATTATCATCAAATATTTATCGATTAAAATTGGGTGGTGAACAATGTAATTACATATTTTTCAATTATTCTCACTTATTAAAATCTTTAATTAATTTAACATCATTGACATTGGTTAAAATTAATACCAATGTGATATTTCAATTACTCTCTGCCAAACAATTTCTACAATTAATAGAATTTAACGTTACTATTGATGAGAATGCCAATGATATTGCACCACATGTTCTAAAATATATTTTTAGCGATCAAAATAGATTGGAAATATGTCGTTTAAATTGTATTAATGTTCATCAGTGTTTGAAATCTCCATTAGATAATATTCAAATAAGATCACAATTAAATATTCGTCAATTATCAATTGATTTGCGTGATCAACGTCTATTATTTATATTATTGAAAAACTTACCGTTACTTGAACATGTTCATGCTGATGTAGTTAATCTATATCTAGTTAATCAAAATGGTGAATACACTTCAGAAATGTGTCCTTCACTGAAAAGTTTTTCATTGAATGTTCAAAATGGATTAGTTTATTTCAATGATTTAGTAATGTATACGAAAAATTTTGAAAATATTACACATTTCTCTTTAAATGTAACCGTTGATCCATTATCAAACTCACCGATGATCGATGGACATTGTCTCAAAGATCAATTGTTAGTATACCTTCCAAAATTAAAACAATTTTACTTTCATATTCAATTTAATATGTATAATCAATTAATTGAACAAAATGATTTAATTTCGACATTTAAGACCGATTATTGGGTAAAAGAACATCAATGGAAAGTGGGATGTCATACGAGAAATGATATAAGGGATATGTATTCATATTTTATTTATTCATTACCATATCGATTTAAAATATTTCCTCTAGTATTTCCGGGAATAATCAATAGTACAACAAATTTTGAATCGAATGTCAATTCATGGTCATCTATTCAATGTATTAAACCTTTACAATCAATAAATATACCATTAATGCAAATGTTGAATGATAAATTTTTACAATTAACAGAAATTCATTTCATAGGTTATTGTTATATTGAAAATTTAGATGATTTTCTACTAACATTCAAACGTATTCATACACTTGTATTTCGGAGAATTTATGGTCCTTATGCATCATTTATTAAACATTTTCTTATACGTACACCAAAATTACAAACATTAATTATTATAAAGGATCATTTAATGGAAATTATTGATGATCAACAATTACTTACTATATTTAAACGTATTACAATGCTCGATATCATTACACATATCGATACTATGAGTTTAAAAAAAATTGTTCACGTTTTCACCAATGTTGATCAATTACAATTAGAGAAATTGAAAGATTTGGCGTTATAGATAATTATTTGAACGGGATTGATATTTTTTTATTTTAAATACGCTTTCATACGTTTTGTATTTACGATTTAGATCATTATATAATCTATGAATAACAGACAATTATTGGAAGAGCAAATATTTTTGGAGACGTTTATCAGTCTTGTTACAGTAAACATCGGACACTATCAATTACTTTATTATCAATTTTAATATTATTTTTTCAAAGCAAGTGTTAATAGTTTTTTTTTCTTCCAAATTAGTCTCTAACATTAAATAAAAACGTGTCAGTAAAAGATTAAAAAAGTCTTGGTGTTCAATGTGAAGTTTGTGTTCAAAATCTTACATCTGACTCTCATTCCAAAATTTGTAAACTTTCTTTAGAAGACTAGACTATTTTGTTTACACAAAATAAGTTTAATGTTACAAAATTGCTTTACGTTTCATCAGAGTAAACATCTGCAAGAATGCTGTACACGATCAGAGATTGTCTGATTCTAGAGATAGATACATGAGTTGAGTTTTTTTATTTAACATATCTAAACAGCAAACAGAATAATAGCTGTAATAATGAAAGTAAGACGTTTTAAAAAACTCTTTACGTGCTTATAGGAAATATTTAATTAAATCAATCGGTAGAGATCTACAAAACGTTTGTTAATATATTTTTATATGATGAATCCCCGCATGGAAGTAATTTCAAAACAACAACCTAGACACTTTCAGACATTTTTTCTCTTAATATCGATTTAGATTTACATCATGGTGATGGTACTCAAGAAGCATTTTATTGTTCAAATAAAGTACTGACTGTTTCATTTCATAAATATGAACATGGTTTTTATCCTGGTACTGGATCATTAGATGAAATAGGTGAGGCATGGGGTAAAGGTTACAATATCAATGTGCCACTATTATCCGGTATTACTGATGATATGTATTTGTCTATATTTTCAAAATTATTACTTTCAATTAATCAATCATTTTCACCTGATGTTTATGTGATTCAATGTGGTGGTGATACGCTGTTCAATGACCCATTTCAAGCATTTAATTTAACAACTCAAGGTTTAGCAGAATGTATTAAACAAATTATTGAGTTAAATAAATTTTTACTTTTTTTGGGTGGTGGCGGTTACAATTTACCAGATACAGCTCGTTTATGGACAACATTAACAAATGTTGCTCTTGGAAATGAAAAAGTAGATAACGATATACCTGAACATGATTATTTTCCTCTATATGGACCTGATTTTACATTAGATACATGGCCTGGTAATCGTAAAAATAAAAATACTGATTCATCTATAAATCAAATCTACGATTATATTCAACAGAATCATATGGAGACATATATTAAAGCTCAGATAAGAAGTTAGATATTTTTATGTAGTGTAATATTTTTCACTCATCCATAGTAATGAAATATTTTTGATAGCCTATTTTGCCTGTATTTTTTGTGATTTATACAATAAATAGTTGAATGTTGTCTTTGAAAAGTCATGGATTTTCAAGCTACAAATTATGTCAAGTCAAGTTCTAGCTTATTAATTAAAACTAGAATACATAAAACATTGGCTTAATTTTTCAAGTCAAGTCTTTTTTAAAAGTTTTATAATTCAAATCAAGTCATGAGTCATAAAATATGTTCCCAAATCTTGGCAATTCAGATAAAAAATAACTTGAAAATGTTCAACTTTGTTAAATGCAACAGTAATGCTAATTTTCATTTTAGTGAGTATGACACGTTTTTGTATGTAACTTTAGAGAAGATCGAAAATGATAAGCTGAATGGAAACCTGTACCGAAACACTAACATCAATGCGAAACAACAATCAGAAGTCTAATGGTGAATATTAGCGACAGCCATCACAGTATTTGAGCTTAAATATAAAATATTTTATAAAAGTTATTTTGACATGTTTCTCTTATTTAAAAAACATTTAAGTATAACAAAGAGAAAAACTTCTAATATACAGTGAGAGAAGATTTCTGTTCAATTTTATTGATGTTAATTTTTCTGTTCTATAATTTTCTTCATTATACGATTAAAATGTGCTATAAGAACAAAACATATTTGGATGATCTTATATTATATCAGGTTTGGATCAAATGACATACTAACTCGGTTTTATCGCTGAAATGCACTAATTATCATTTAAGATATTTCGATTAGGTCAAATGCAAATGTTGATACAAATCAACGCAAAAATATTGCGTATCATTTTGAAAATAACGTCATATCCTATCGAATAGATGTACATATTTTATGCCTGAATAGCAAGGGTTAATTTTGTTTGGAATTACTGATTTGTTTTTGCAACAATAGATAAACAGTACTTCGAGGTGTTATACAAATACATAGTAATTAAACGAAAAAAAAAGAGGAGAGCAAGAGAGAGATCTGCGTGTAACTTACATCCTCTAATATAGTATAACGTAATATCATTTGTCCTTCATACTGTATTTTAACCTTTTCCTATTATTACGAAGACTCAAATTATTCTCGTTTGTCCTATAACGATGATTGCAACTGCTACTGTTTAAACATTATTATATACAAGAGAAAAACGCCTTGAAACTAGAATAAAGACTAATATACTACTACTTCTAATATAATGATTCGAATTCTACTACTATGTGCTTGGTTTGTCAATTATTTGATTGCTGGACCACTAGCTAATGGATTTACAAGTAAGATTTTATTTTTTTCAATATTTTGCATCACTTACATATTGTAAGGTTTACACATTCTCTGAGCGTAAATATCACTCGATAGTTATTGGATATATTAATATATAACTTATAAAAAAACTTCTCAATGAAAATATTGCTCATTTGCTATCTTGCATTCAAGTACATTTAGATCAGACAGTAAACAATGGAAAATCAATAGAAGAGCAAACTTGTGCAACGGATGATGGAAGAAGTAAACTATCCTATTTAATTTTTATTTTTTTTTATTAAGTGCTGTTATATTTCTTTTCTTTCTATATAGAGATATTAATTGGTGCAAAATATAAACCTGCAATGAGTCCATGTACAATTTGTACATGTACAGGAAATGGATTTCGTTGTGAAGATAACCAATGTGAAATTACTGCAGGTGAAATATTGTTCTTTTCAGATCAAGTTTTTAGTTAATTAAGTTTTTTCATTCTCTTTAGAAAACAATGTTACTATTACCACTACATCACCATTAACATCTACTTCAACTGTAACTGCCACATCTACAACAATATTAGCTCGTGTACCTGTCGATGGTGATGAATCTACATGTCATCGAACAACAAATGGTGGACGAGATGATTCTTATCTTGATTGCAGTGAAATATTTATAGCTGGTAAGAAAACAACCGGTATCTATGAAATATGGCCACGTACCTCCAGTCGACCATTCAAAGTTTTATGCGATATGGACACAGATGGCGGTGGTTGGACAGTATTTCAAAAACGTGGTGATTACATTCCACAAACAAATTTTTTTACAACATGGGCATCATATAAACGTGGTTTCGGTGATTTACAACGTGATTTTTGGTTGGGAAATGAAAAGATTTATTATTTATCAAATCAAGATGAATATCGTTTAAGAATTGATTTAGAAGATTTTCAAGATCAAAAACGTTTTGTTGAATATGAATGGTTTTTCATTACAGGTGAAAGTATGAAATATACTTTGAATTTGGGACGATTTATACACACAAGTAGTGCTGGTGATAGTCTATCTTATAATCGTGGCATGAGATTTACAACAAAAGATCAAGATAATGATGCATCAACATCGCAATGTGCAGAAAATTATAAGAGTGGTTGGTGGTATGCTGGATGTACACTGACTAATCTCAATGGACTCTATTTAAGAGGTAATGATTCAACAGCCACAGGTATATTTTGGAATAATTGGTTAGGTGCCAAATATTCATTGAAAGTATCAGAAATGAAAATAAGACCAATAAGTTTTAATTCAGAAATGTTGTCCTATTAAAGATGTGTTTTAATCATGCAACTTGTAAGATTTTCTTTTTGTAAGATAAATAAATTTTATTCTTTGTGATGTGGAACTATGACATACGTTTAATAGCTATATATGTCAGAAAGTATAGCAGTGCTTCAGCTAAACGTACAACGGTTAAAGGATGAGTTTCAGAAAGAGTTTTGATATCTCTCTGATGCTACTGGATATCCCAAAAGATTTGCAACATTATTTATTTCACGAATATCTTTGCTTTTAGCGCCTCGTTTCATATCAATTTCTGTTTCAAAAGATGCATTATTCAGTTCTATACAAAATCTTTTTGAATATATCGTAAAGGAATATGAAACTAAATTTCTAGAGACTAAACAATCACATTCGATAAAATGCATTTTTTTCAGTGATTTCTCCAGCTTTTTTTTGTAGACTTTATTTATTTATTGATGAAACAAATAGTTATAACTAAGACAGGTCAAAAGAGAGAAAAGCCCCATTATTATCGTCCTGTCTAGCCAATAAAAAATAGGAAAGAAAGTAGCAAAGAAAAGAATGAAAGCTCCAGCTTTTTGTTATCTATTTCTGTTGATATCGAATATAATCGTCCAAAAAAAAAATTAAGTTTTGTCTTGCAGTTTCAAAACAACGAGCGCATAGACTTTTTTTACCAGTCAGACTTTTGTCGTGGCAGAAATGACATTAATTCAATTAGTTGCCTAAAACTGTCAGTCTCGAATGATTAGCGGCTTGTCAGCTTTCTACAAACAACCATCTGTTTTTCTAGAATTATGATACTTTCATCACACTACCCTATCGTCATTATGGCGAACGCACTTTCGTCATACATGACAAAAGTTTTTGGGCGGGAGATACTCCTCGGGAAGTGATTTCATCAAAGTGTGAATTTCGTTACACACATAAAAAATTTCGCTCCATAAAGCGAATTTTCGTCACAGTAGTGGTGAACTTTCCACACATTCACTGTAACCGCAAAATCGTGGTGATGTCACTGTATAGTACAAATTTTGGCTCCTACGAAAACTGATATTCCTTTTGATCAGAGCTTTGTTCCATAGTACAGAATAGGGCATGTCAGATTGACTTAGATGAGAACTTTTGGATATAATAGTGATAACTTGATCATTCTTTCATCTCTCTTGTATCTTCGACTTTTGACTTTGAACTAATAATCAAATACGAATCATCATCTCTGTTTTCTTAACTAATATTCGATCTCGCACAAAATTACGTTTATGTTCAATTTCACTATTATGAATAAAAAAAAAAGATATCCAATAGAAACTATGACTGATACGGATAAAATATGAAAAGGGAGCAGACTTATCAATAAATGGAGAACGAAAATTATTTTCTAATTTTTTTCATTTATTGGAGAACAGCATTGGAAAGTGTCTTTTTGCGAGCAGATATGACACTCGATGACAAAAATAATAGATTGCCGTATCATATGTGAAGGTTGTATTGTATGAAGTAACTATAGAATTAAAATTCTTGAACAGTCAATTTGATTCTCTAAAATGTTCACAATAAATATTTCTTAACTTTCTTATAAAATCCTTCAGTATTTCTTAAATGATGTTAAATTATCAACGACTTTTGCAGTCAATTCTCCATAAATCATCACAAAGCATCATTTAGATATTATGTTCGATTGATGTAAACAAAATATTTTCATTCTTAAACTCTTTTTAAGGATTTGCAAATGTAATAAGGTGCTTTACTACATATTTCGTTGCTACAATTACTTTCCTAGACAATTTGCGACAACTCGTGTAATGGGAGAATATAGATAGTGAACTAAACAGATATCATTGAAAAACCAGAAATTATTTTGTCAGATATATTCTACATGCTCATCAATACCAGTTGTGTATGGCTAAAAGGGCCCCGGCAACCGGTTAGAAATATAGAATTTTTTATAAAAAGTCGATATTGAGCTAAACACATCATCGGATAGCCCACAGTATGTACTATCTGGATCCAATGTTATTTCCATATCGAAGAGGTGTGGAGGTTTTTAGAAAAGTTTTCTGAAAACCTTGAAAAGCTGACTTGTCAAAAGAATTTTACTTTCCGATATAAAAGCAAATCCAAAAACATTTTCAATCACAAGGAAATAGGACAAACATTTCTGATCAACATGAAATATCTCCCAGCTCGGAATGATGTTCTGATCAAGAGTTATGAGAGTTTTGCTGGAAGTCCTAAACCTTGCACTGGCGCCGCCGTATCTCGAAAGGAACTTTCATCTTAACACCATATCGTAGCTGCAAGATTTCTCGGTAACGAAACATCACAGAGAGCTCGGAAGGACTTAAATTGAAGCTGACATATGTGGCTAGAAGCTAATAGAGCCTGATTTTCGATATTCGGTCTCGATTTCTAGTTAGAAAAATATCTTTATGCAAGTTAATGCGACTTTTTCGAATTTTGGACTTTTGACACCGACCATTAATTTCTGAAGTAAAATATCAAAAATCCGGCTCTATTAGCCTCTAGCCACATGTAGTTTTCGTTAACTTAAGACCAGTCCGAGCTCTCTACAACGTTTTGTTACTGACAAATCTTGCAGCTACAAATAGCCCCATTTTGGTCACTGTTGTGGCGACATCTCACAAATCATTCTTGATGGACCGAAACAAAAAATTCGTTACCATACTTTCCAAAGATCAGCTTCTTCTAAAAGTTTGGTCAAGCTCGGACTTATACTTTCAAAGATAGGTTTCTGACGGGGAGGGGGGTGGGGCTTAAAAGGATAGTAGACACCCGTCGTCTTTCAAAAACCGCGTTATTTCGGTGAACCGACGGTTAACCGTTTCTTCTTAATCATCTTGCCCTTCAAGGACAATATGATTTATCGAAAAACTTCAGAATTTTTTCCATGACTTCTTGAAGTGTGAAGTTCGACTTAGTCTAAATATCTTTCGAACTGCATCTAAGAGCCCTGGAAAGTAGACAGATACTGCTCAATCCAAAACTTCACCGTTATTGACTTTTCTGACATTTTGTGCCGGCTCGCGGTTAACCGGATGCTAAAGCGCACACTCAAACGGGCGGTTAACCAAGGTTTTTTGCCGGTTTGATAAACATGGGGACATTTTGTTTGATCGTCAACAGACGAAAAACATGTTAAAACTGTATGTATGTAATATTCTATTTCGATTTCTTTACGAAATTATATTCCACAAGACAACGGGAAGCTCAATTACTAGAGCCCTTCGAGATTGAGTTTTTTCACCCCGATCCCGATTCTGTCCTGAAGGCCTAATTATGACCCGTGAAATCTCGAAAATTTTTATTTTTATTTTATTTTTGTGATAATGAAGTATAGTTTCAATAAATTTGAGAAAGAAATCTCCTGATCTCGATCCCGTAAATTTTTTTTCTCCAGTCCTGATCCTGAAAAAAAAAAATCAGCCAATATGGGCTGATTTTTTTGAATGAACAATTCAGAACAAAAATTAAATCGATTCTCTAGCAATAAATCGAACGTGTAGCTGAGCTATCCAGACGATGTATTCTGCATCTTCGACATCAATCGCATGAAAATATTATACGTGTTAGATTGAATTGGCATTAATAAAACCATTAGTAATGAGAATAAACCGAGCTTGTTCGACACCAGAGGTTATCAAAAACGAAATTACTCGATTGAAAGAGACATTGAATATGAATGGTTACCTAAATCACATCATATGACGAGGAGTACCTGATCGAGAATAACGAAAAGATTGTTACAACCTCGATATAATAAACAACATCTACACAACCACAAAAACAATGTTATAATGTGAAAATGAAACGTCGAAAAAACGAAAAAATTTGGATATATATATTGTGATCTTATCTATGTCGAAAAAATATCAGATTATAGAGAAACAAGAATAAAAGAGCATGGACAAGACGTGAAAAATGCCCGAGATAATTCCATTAGTACTCAGCATCCACTTGGACATTCTCATTCAATAGATTTTGACTACACTGGCTGAAATAAATTGGAAAAGAAGAGCGATCGCTCGCTCATTTATAGACTATTTTTATGTAAACTTAAAAAATAAATAAATCACTGAAAAAATAGACTCAAAGCATGTTAGTATTTTAGAATGAATGAGTTATTTTTATTTTTTAAGTTTACATAAAAATAGTCTATAAATGAATTATTCCATTTAAAGTAGTTTTCCACTAAATTCTAAAATTTTCTAATAAAATCAAACATTTCCACTGGGCCTATAGTTGTTAATAACCTATGTTTCAGTTGTTTTTAAGGTTTCCGTAAATCACCTTACGCCAGTCCTAGAGCTCCCAGGATCTCTGATGCTAGATCTAAATGACTGGAAATGACAGTCTCACTTGACCATCGTTTTGAAGAAAGCACTTTGTGTTATCTACATACGAAAAAAACCAAAGTACTTGTATTTTAAGCTTTTGCGTAATGATCTAGTTTTACATCGATCCTTGGCAAAAAAATTACTTTGGAAAAGACTTTTGAAATGATTTTCGTAATAAAAAGATATAGTAAGATTTTGGCTTTCAACTAGTAAAATCAACGCTTTTCTATCATTTTCCTATCAAACATTATTTGAAAAATATATAAGTCCATTCTTTTTTTTTTTTACTGACAGTAATTTACTGAATGATAGCATCCTAAAGTCAATGATATGTATTCATTAGTGAATGATGGCTGTCTCGTTAAATTACGATGAAATTTTTATGAGGAAAAAAGGCTGCACTATAAATAGCAGCAGAAAAAAAATCGATTTTCTAAGTAGAGTGGTGCCAGAAAAAGCGAAAAAGATACAAAAACGTAACTTAGTATATCATTGAATTGAGTCGTTCTGCTCGCATAAAATACTTAAATGAATAAATTATCGCTAAAACATAAATTTAAGAGCATATGATAATTTGATTTTGTAGTCGAACCATCTTGAAATATTTTCTCTATTTTTCAATATTAAATTTGATGTATGCCTTTTGTACGAATGATAGAAAATTTTAGTTTTTCGGTTATAAAAGATGAATATACATTTATCAAAGGTTAAGACTATAACAAAAAAGGCCTTTAATTTCATGGTTAATCTAATCAGATGCCATTTTTTAACAAAATTGAATGAGTAAATACCATATATTTGTTTGTTTTTACTATCTTGCTCTCCATGTCTATGCATTTATTATTTTCAAAACATGAATAAAATTATAGTGTGTCTTCTATTCAGCGTTTTTTCAAGGTTATTCGCCGATATCGCATCAACGCCCGCATCCGGTCATAGTAAACATTGGGATTATGAACGTAATGGTCCCGATACATGGCTACATAAATTTGACCATTGCAAAGGTAAATCACAATCTCCTATTGATATTCAAACGAGTCAAGTCCGCTATGATTCTAAATTGGATAATCTCAATCTTACTGGATATACAAATATAAATACCACTTGGAATATAACGCACAATGGTCATACCATTGTCGTTACACCTTCAAAAAGAACGAAAATATCTATGAGTGGTGCAAAATTAATGGATGTATTTAATCTTCTTCACTTTCATATACATTGGGGTCTAAATGTGTATCAAGGTTCAGAACATACTATTGATGGACAAAAATATCCATTAGAAATTCATTTTGTTCATAATACAACATCGAATTCTCGCTTAGCTGCACTAGGTGTTTTATACAAATTAGAACCTACTGATAATGTTCAACTAAATGATTTTTTAGACATAATTAGTAAAATACTAAATGAAACAACAATGATCGAACAACAAGTGATTGACATATCAAAATTATTACCACCAAGAAATAAGACGAATAGTTTAAGATTCTATCGTTACAACGGATCATTAACAACACCACCGTGTAACGAAGCTGTTACATGGACATTACTGGAATATCCGGTACCTATCTCGGCCCGTCAATTACAAGTGTTTCAACACAATTCGGTTCGATGGAATTTTCGTCCAATACAAAAACTGCATACACGTCATGTCATAGCAAATTTTAAACCAGAATCAGTTAACAATGAAGATAAACATTGTGCGTGTGAAACAAAAAACAACGGAATAAAATTGAATTATACCATCATGTTTTTACTCGCATCATTATTTATTAACTTTCTTAATGTGTAACAATACTAATATAAATACTTTTTAGCTCAACAAACGTAGATTTTTCTGTTTTTCATAATTTATATGATAGTTTTCTAGATAAAGTATCGAAAGCAGAAAAAATATTTTTAAATAAATCTATTTTCTACCAATTAATCAAACCAAAAATAAACTATGACATTATATGTTATCTGTAAATAAAGATATTATAGTTTTGTTGTAATCATATATTCTCATTTATAAATTGATACAAAAATCTACTGAATTATTAAGAATATCTGTTTGATAAAGTTATCAATCGAATAAAACAATTATTAAATGGGGTGAGTATTGCCATTAATAATCCTCTGCTGTTGCATAAAATTCTTCTGTAGTATTGAAATAAATCCTTTAGTAGTGAAAGAATCTTTTATTTTGAATCAAAATGGAATAGCTATGTGAGAAATCTAGATATAAAACTGAATATGTATCTCTTAAAAAAAAATTTATGTTTTTATAAAATCACGTTTTTTAAATTTTTCGTCTCCTTTTTTCTTTTTTTGATTTTGTTTTATATCATTTTATGAAGTTACAAAGAGAAGAAATAAAACACATTTGTACATATTCTCATCATGTTTAAATTATTTAATGCTTGTAATCTTACCAAACGCCCACTAAATAATGCAACGCGAGCTATTTATTCCTAAAAAAATAACTTATTTTGTTTTTCTGGTTGTTGTTTCTTTTTATTTCGATAACGATGACAGTCTGATGTTAGATTATAAAGTACAAATGACGTAGATTTGTAGTAGAAATGTTTGGTATTTCTTCACCTAAATTTTTCAGGGAATAATAGAGTAAAAAGCAAGATTGAATCATAATAATACTAAGACTTTATAATAAAATAGGTCAGACATTATTGGACGATTTAGTTAAAGAAAAGTACTCATTGAAGTCAAATGAGAAGATGTTCACCTTTTTATTGATAAATCACTTCCATTGGAAATCTATCTCCTCTCTCACTATTCCTCTTTTACTTAACGGATGACATTAGATTGACATTTATTATATTCATTTTTCTCTTAAACATCTATGACTATCTTCAGCACACACAGTATAGTGAAAATGGCACTTTATTAACACTATATCAACGTAGATAGACGTATGCCGAGAAAGAGGCGAAATATATCCAGCTATTTCTCGTTTTGTTGTTTATTTTTCTTCCACGCTATCCCAACATCTCCATTTGTCTTCTTCGTCGCTTTTTCTCTCTTTCTTTCTATTGTCTTCTATCAGGATCGATTCTTCTTTCTTCTTTGGATTCTTTTTTTTTTCTTTATTTTATTTGTGCAAAGTTTCTCATGAAGGAATAAAAAAGAAAAAAAAAAGAAACAAAAAAGTCTATATATTTCTTTTTTCTGTCATTATTTTCTCCTCCTCTCATATATATTAAATGATTGGAATTGTGTTGTCAGGATTCTTTCTTATGTTTCTTGACTATCACGGTCACTATTAACGTCAAAATATATATGAAAATGTAACCCTGACTCATATTTACCATGTTTCCCTCTCTCTTTAATACAACGCGCAAGTACACCATGATTATATAAAAAAAAAAAATATAAATGAAATTTTACTTCTTTTTTCTTCTTGTTCTTGTTTCTACTTTCGTATAAAATTCCGATAAAAAAGAAAAATAGTTGATTAAAGCATTTAATTCAGCTTGTCTAATTAGGAAAATCATATTAAGATTAGATATACGTTGCCTCTGTACGTGTAATTAACAATCATCTTTTATTGATTCATATATATATATATATATATTGCTTATAGATTTTATTCATTTGGAAAATTAAAACCTATTCTCTTTTTGTTTTTTCATGTCTAATTTCGCCCTAAACATAAAATGATTTTTATCATTTCATATCAGTTTTTTTTTTACTCTCTTTTTTTTTGCTCTTGGTTGTATGTACAGATAAGTATACGAGGAAATTCTTATAGTGTTTGATTGAATGCGTAATAAATAAGAAGAAGAGGAAAAAAACGAACAAGACAGAAGAGAAAAATACTAAAAAGGCCCAACAAAAAAAAAGAAAACAAGAAATATGTATTATAATATATAATTTATTGTGTATAAATGTACATATGTGATGTATCGAATCATTGACGCAAATTTAGAATCCTTCGTGTATTGATAATATACTTATACTTGTAAATATGCCATATTTGTGAAGCAATAACAAAACAAAATCAGCAAAAAATAGAAAAAAAAAACTCCTCGAAATATTTACGCACGAAAAATTGTTTGTTCAGGTATGTTATTTGAATTATTTTTTCTCTGAGATTACATTCATTTTTATTTTTTTTTTGAAGAATAACTTGTGGATTATTCATGAATGAGAAATTCTTATAGACTTTTTTTTGAGATAAGCATTTCACTTAAATAAAGACAAGAAAAAAATAAGAAACCTTAAACATCTCTGATTATTGATCAGTTATCGATGCTTATATTACAACCTTTTTATTTTATTTTTTCAAGAATAAATTTTGTTTTTTTGTTAAATTATCTAAGACAGCATACAAAATAGAGAGAAAAATAAATTTTATGATGAAAATTGACTGAGTTTTGTTTGTTCAGTTTTATATGACAGTGACCATTAGGGATTATAAAATACGTTAAATAAATATGTAAATATAGGATTATTTTGATAAATTAGCTTTTTGCATCTAATACATTTAAAAATATCTGTAACTAAAACACAAAATGAAAATAGTCAGGTTTAATGGAATTAGTGTAAGTGTCAGTGTACTTTGTCAGACAGATCGATCACACATCAATTTAAAACAATCTCGTTTTCTATTTGAAAATAATATTTTGGTATTTTTATCATAGTTTTTCTTGTTATTTTTCTCTTATTAATGACAAAAGTTGATAAAATAACAAAATCTGACATTAACTGAAAACAACAAACGGTACCATTCTTATTCTTCTTTTAATTACAAGGTTACGCACGAATGCTTGTAATATGACATTCAGTTTTGACTAGTTGAATATTTAGTCAACACTACAAAGAAAAATAACAAAACATGCATGATGAATAGACTCTCTCTCTCTCTCACTCTCTATATGACATTTACTCTATTGTAAATACTTTTATTTAGATGTATATACACTTATCAAATAAGGGTTTCCTGAGTATATAATAAGATTAAAATAATTAAAATTCAAGTCACAAATGTCGTTTGTGTAAGAAACAAAAAATGTTTTATATTTTTCTTATATGGGGGAGACATCCGTCTACGTATACCATGTGTTACTAATTTTGCGTGAGATAATTGTCATAAATTTGAAAAAAATGTGAAAATTTCTTTTTATACACATTATAAAGAATTTTCACTATTTTTTCTTCTTCATCGTGTTAAATTGGTAATAATAGGTAATACCTTCTTATTAGAATAAAGAGCACATGTTTTTGATTGAACCTATGTGATTATTAGCTAAACTGTCTACATGAGTGCACATTTTTTTCATCGAAAAAAGAAGTTTTTATCATATTAATTAATTATGACAGATTTTCTTTACATATAGATTTTGACATCTACTGAGATATCATTTAACAAAATAAGTCGAAAATTGTACTATCTAAACTTATGGCAGTTCGCGTCATAAAAATGACAAGATTAATGTTTTTTATTTCGTTTACATGTCACGTTATAATGTGACCTTTGAAATTTTCTTGTTTTTTTTCATCTTTTTTATAGTTTGACAAATTGTTTATTTTTTAGATCTAGATGCGTCCATCTACTACACAAGAATCATTTCTAAGTTCATCACCGCCAACAAATGATATCGAATCAATGAATACAGCTCATACAACGACAGAAGTGCAACGTCCTCCATTATTTCGTTCATTGTCATTATTAGAAGGACATGAATTTTATACACTATTTCGTCAACAATATAATGCTTATTGGGGTACATTAAAATTTGAAGATGCACCAAATGACTATTCCGATGAAGTATGTTATCAATACAATAAATTACTTAATTTTTTTATATTAAAATATTTTCTATTATTTTTTAGTCTAGATACTTTTTATTAGTCGATGATAATGTTGATTTAAGTGCACTACGTCAATTTATGATTATTGAATGGCATTTAAATTCAGCTAATATTGTTATACCCGTACTAAGTGGAGTATCAAATAATAAACCATGGAAAAATCAAAAACAAACCGAGTCACTTAAACAAGGAATTAAAAATGTATGTTAATATCGTTACTGTTAGTTTTTATATTATCATTTTTTTGCTTGTGTTTTACAGGCTGCCAATGCATCAGAGGTGTGGTTCATTACCAATGGATTAGGTAAGTTAGATGAATAATTCTATGAAGTTTTAACTATCATTACAGTGATTTTCTCTGCGAACTTAAAGAGATCAATTTCATTTGAATGTAAAATTCTGAGCAAGAAAATGTTCTTTAAACATTTTAATAAAAACGATTTGATAATGGAAACGAAGAAAATATTTTTGATTTTAGGAGAAAATCTCCCGTATTACACATGCTTCTTGAAGAACGAGCGGAGTTTTTAGAATTATTTCAACGGTCTTATTCTTTTTTCAAAAAAAAATCATGAGATTTATGACCTTTTGAGAGAAATTGCACGGAATGGTACCACTTTTTCAATCTTAAATCAATCTGTCAATAAAAAAGGGTAAACGAACTTTTTTTCAGATGGCACTTTTCAAAATTTTTTTATTTGTTATGTTGTTCAAAAATGTTTTAAATTTTGATATATTTACATTCTCCAACATTACCAGATGTCATCTTATTGATTTAATAATTAAAAATTTTCCAATTTTAGAAACAAAAACAAAATATTTTTTAAAAATGCCTGAAGAAATTCTGTTTGAAAAAGTTCCTTTATCATATTTTTATTCGATAAAGGTTGATCAAGTACATCATTCCGTGCAATTTCTCGCAAAAGAACACGAATTTGTTGTTTCTTCTTGAAAAACAAATAAGATCGTTGAAATAATTCTGAAAATTCCCTACAAAGCTTCTTTCTTTCAACAAAACGAAAATACACAATAGACAAAGCCACAAAAAAATATATTTGCCTAACATCATTAAAAGAATCCCTTTATTTACTATAAAATGAAGTATATTTCGGTGAATTGTTACTACCTGGACAATTATTTTCCAGTTCTAAGCTGAGAACCGAGAATCACGGTTTTATTCGTTTCGATTCCGCATGAGGAACCGGTACCGCGGTTCGTTTCATTTTAGTTCTAACTCGAGAACCGAAAATGCGCTTTCAGTTCCAGAATCGCGATTCTCGGCTCCGGAATCGAGAATCGAACATTCTTAGTTATGAAAATGCTGATTGAAAAGCACTATTATCTATTCGTTTTAACTTTTTTAATCTTTATGTGGAAAAAATGCGTTAGAAAAGAGATTATTCTTCATATTTTGAATTTTTCTTGCACATGTCTCCCTTGGTAGCATCAAATAGGAGAACATTTGAATAAAAGTATTTGTCGTTGAAGAAAAGAACGCGTAATACTAAATGGATTTTTGATCAAAATCAAAAATGTTAGCCTAGCCTCTGTCATCCCGTCTCTGTTCTAATAATTTCCAACAAATATTTTCCTGATCAAAATTTTACACTCTTATGAGATGAACTAAGTATATTCGAGTTTGTGTGAAAAGTTATGTTTAAAGCAGTCAATATCTGATGTAATACATTACTAGAAATTTTTATTTAGATGCTGGCGTTCCTCAATTGATTGGCACAGCATTTCGTGAAGAAAGGGTTAGTTTCATATTCTTTTCTTTATTCTTTTTATTCTAATTATAATCATCATTTTGATATCTATTAACTTCTTGTATTAAATTTCTAGTCAATAAGACGAGCTGATGATGCATGGGCAATTCAAATGGGTCGTAATCCCAAAAAACGAAAAGTACTTATGCTTCTTGGAATTGTTTGTGCCGATGAAATAAAAGATTTTATTGATTTAAAAGTCAAAGATCAACCAAAAATTGTAAGATAAATCTAGATAAAAATTTGTTACTATTTAATTGTTTTGTTTTTGTTTTTTTTTAATTTAATTTTAAAAGGAACTAAAAGTTCCAACGAAAAAACGTGATCAATTATCATTGAATAGTGATCATACCCATTTTATAATTATACGTGAACAACCAAAAATTAGTGATGAAAAACCATTTGAAAAATTAGCCGATTCAGCTGAAAGTAGTACAAATAAATTTCGTGATCGTTTTGAAGATTATCTACATCAAGAAACATTACAACCAGCAAATAAAACGACTATATCAGCAGGTGTAACAACTGGTAAGTTGACTAATAATTTGTTGGCTTTTTTTATACTAATTCCTTAATGAAAACATTTTTTTTTTAAATTAAATTAGATAATGGTCCACGTCGAAGTTTATGGTCTGAAGATGGTAAATAAGAATGGATAAGTGAGAGAATGTTATTGAATTTAATAAATATTTTTTTATTTGTTTAAGGTTTTCCAGTGGTGTGTACTCTTGTTCGTGGTACACCAGGAACAATTGATTTTTTATATCAAAAAATAAATCAAGAAATTCCATGTGTTATTTTGAAAGGAACGGGATCAGCTGCCGATATTATTTCATTTGCTTACGAAGAAATTAGTGCAAAGTAATAAAAATCGCACAGTAATATTAAATAAAATTAAAATAAAAATAAAAACTTAAATTATTAAATATAAAATTACTTTTAATTTTAGAAATGATAAAGAATATGAAGATTCCTATTTAAAAGTAGAATTAGCTCGAAGATTACTCGATGAATATCCAGCCTTGAAAGATAATAATGTAAAACGAAATGATATAAGAGATCATATTATTCAAATAGTAAAAAAAGCTGATCAGGTATCTATATAACAAAAAACTTTTTTATAAATATATAATCAATTATTGACATTATTTTTTATCATTTTAGAGTAGACGAAAATTTTTGACCTTTGTTGATGTAAATAGTTCGACAACATCATTAAATGATTTTCATAAATTTATTTTATCGTCACTTTTACAATGTTAGTATGAATATGCATTTTATCATTTTTTTTTTTTTTTTTTTTTATAAAAAGTATTTAGACTACACTGATCATACAAAAAATTTCGTTAATGAGACGATGCTGTCTGTATTTGTATTTACCGATATTCTCTGTAAACTATCTTCACAAACATGAGTGAATGATATTTGCAAATAGTAACATTTTTAATGTAAAATATTTTTATTTTATTTTAATAATTATTTCTATTTTTAAATTTAGCTCAAAAAAATGTAACTGGAACACGATTAACAGCACAATTAAAACGTAATTTACAATTAACATTAGATTGGAATTTACCAGATTTAGCATTATCAGAAATATTTCAACGTGAAGATGATACAAAATATAATATATCTTATGAATTATTTGATAAAGCATTATTAGGAAAAAAATTAGAACAATTTGTTGATTTATTTTTGGATAGAGATTTTTCTCTACATCGATATTTAAAATCAGATAAATTAGTTGATTTATTTCAAGACTCAAAAGATCGAGAATTTTTAACAACAACATCATTAGAAGGCATTCTAGGATTAACGGGTGTAAGATTTAAATTATATTATTTAATTGTAGACTCTTAAAATAAATTATCTATTATTTTATTTTTCAAAAATATATAGGATGAAAATGAAATGCCTGCACAATTTGTTGAACATGGTTTAAATACAATTGTTAAACGTTTAACAGGCATTAGTCATTTTTTTAGTAAACATGAAATGGATTGTAATGCTATGGGCATTTATTTCGGTGATAAATCTGATCGTGGAGTAACAAAACAACGTATGAGAGCCGAGAAAAAGGTTTTTATCTAAATAATTTATTTAATATTGATGTCATTTTAATAATTAATTTATCTATATTTTAGGCATTGAGACATTTAATTATATTTGCTGTACTTATGAATCGTCATCAATTAGCAAAATTATTATGGAAACGTTCATCAGAACCAATTCCATTGGCTTTAATATGTTGTATGATGTTTAAAAAATTGGCACCTTATTGTCATGAATCATATCAAAGATTATTAATTGAAAAACAAGCAAAGTACGTAATATATATAAATAATATTAAAATATTATATACAATACATGTCACAATAAAATATTTCTATTTATTGTAGGGAATTTTCAGATTGTGCCGTTGGTGTATTAGATAAAAGTTTTAATGAAGATGATACTCGAACATTTGAAATGTTGGATGAAAAACATCCCGATTGGAATCATATGGCAACAGTTGAATTAGCGTATAATGCTGAAAATAAAGTATGTTTATTAGTTTTGAATATTTATAAAAATCTAGATGAACAATTTGCAATCTCATTATACGGTTCACTTTCAACATGTAAATGAAACATAACTTCCATCTCTATGGACTGATTTTCATAAAAAAGTTTTGTTCCTCTAACACGCCGTCACTATCACAGAAAAAAATCATCCTCTATGGGTCTTGAGATACGGGTATACAAACATCCGAAAACCAGTTTGTCGACGTCACTTGTCGAACAGCAAACCGTTTTCTCCATGCTCGTCTGGTATTTTAACTCAATTTTTGCCGACTAGTTTGAAGAGGACGGTTTCAGCTTTCAGGTGGTATGATTAGTCTCTCACTTTATTGATCTTTTTTCAATCACACAATTTTACAATTACTTTATCGATTTTGTGTTATGCGAGATTAAAACGGACACCACAGCGGAAGGGATAAACTGAGAAATTTGAAAGTAATTTCAAACGATAGAAAAAAGAAGGTGCTTCAAGATGGCTATGAAGAAATTTTTTTGTGATGAAAGGTCTGGTGAAAATATGAAAACTAATAGTGAAAAAGCAAGGGCGACAAAGTACTACTTAGCTACTTCACTTCAGTTTGCTTCATATGAAACTCATTTCATTTCTAATCAAGTCAATTTGTGACATTGTTATTTCATTGGATTTTTCTAATTTTTTGTCTGACAAATCTATTTATTGCACCGCTTTCCGTTTTATTTACGGTGGTGATTTAATACGCATATAAGGTGGATTAGTCTTAATTAATCCCTAGCGCTTGAACTTTGCTTGTCTCCACGCTAAGCAAAGATACATCGGCTAATATCTCTCTAATTTATCTACTCATCTCTATTTTCTTCATCTCTACTTCACTAGTTCGCTTTATGGACACTTCAAAATCACTTCCAGTTGACTTCAAGTGATTGTGAAAGTGATGAATTTTTCCCCTTGTGAAAAAGACTCGTTTTTGCGCTAAATGTCCCACATTTAGCGCAAAAACGAGTCTTTTCCACAAACTCAAAAATCTCACGTGAGTCACGTGAGATTTTTGAGTTTGTTTGAAGCGTATCCCGCATAGCTGTGAACCGATCAAGTTGAAACTTTATTACTATTCTTTGTTAGAAGAGTGCTACTTGAGGTAAAAAAATTAGCTTTCAGGGATGTACAGTTCAGGACAAAAATGTAAAATATCCTGAAAATGTCACATGAGAAATGTTTTGAACTTTTTAAGTCAGTTTGAGACCTATATATCATATAGCAATCGATTCCGCGTTGATCGCCAGACAAAACTAGCTATTTGGTAAGAAGAGGATAGTTAATTTTGTCTAGATAACTCAAATAAAAAGGAGTTGTTTTAGCGGTGGAATACCTGATTTACCCGTAGATTTCGTAAAAGTTAATTTTCTCGGCGATCGTAATAGTCGTAGTCGGGAAACGTTTTTCCTATAATCCTCACATATAGTCCGATGAAATGTACGATTTACATTTTTTACAATTTGAGAAAAAAATTGTCAACTTTTTTTTTCTAAAATCGTATAATGAGAGTGCAAATCTCTCATATACAGATATAGAGATATACATGGCTTTATACACATTTCAGGAATTTATGGCACACGCTGCTTGTCAAAAATGGTTAACACGACAATTTTATGGTGAAATTACGCCACGTGAATTATCATGGGGACTTTTTAAAACACCAGATTATTTTAAAGTATATACTAACAATGATATAGCATCAATGAATGATCTCAAATTTATATTAAAATTTTAGATTATATCTAGTGCATGTCTTATATTTCCCATGTGGTTTTGGATTAATTTTTCACCCATTGGTCAAGCCGAACCAGCTCCAAAAAAAGTGAGCGATTTACAAGGTGATAAATCGAAAAAAGCAGTGCTTGGTACAGAAGATCAACTCGAAGGTAACAAAACAAATTTACTAATAAATGAAGTACTTGATATTAATTATAAATATTTCAGAAGGAAAAAAAATGGGATCCTATGAAGCAGAAGTAACCATTCGTGGAGGGGTAAATTGTTGGCATTTTAATAAGTATCAAGTTTTCTATTTGTTTTTTATTTGAAGAATAACGTTTTTACAAAACTGGGAAATCTTTTTCATGGTGGACGACGTGGAAATGATGTCGCACATAAAGATTCTGGTGAAAAAGCTATGACTGCTACTGAGGAAATTGCTACATTATGGTCAGCACCAATTACAAAATTTTATACAAACTTTGTAAGTCAACAATCTTTTACATATACTCGTGTTACATTAACAACTAATGAATATCATAATTTTAGGTTGCTTATTTGACATTCCTTTCATTGTTTACATTGGCTGTTTTATGGCCATCATGTGGTAATTTGTTACTCGATTGTTTTGTATGGTTTTGGACAGCATCAATTGCATTTGAAAATACGCGTGTGGCATACGAAAAATATTGTGTAGGTAGACTGTTATTATATACGATATTAAATTTTCTTCATATCTTTTTCTTTTTTCTAGTCTCAAAGTAGTTTACCATTACAACGTGCCGTATTAGAAGTTATTGTTCAAACGATATTTCTAGCACTTTATCTCGGATTAAGAATAATTGGACTATGGAATTTTGGAAGTAAGAATTTTTTTGATTGTACAATGTTTTGTGCATCTATTAATCACAAGATTATGTTTTTTCTACTTAGCTTGTCAAATATTAACAGCAAAAGCCGTATTGGGTATTGGTCTAATATATTATTATTATCGTATTTTATTCATATTTTTACCTATCAGCCCTAAGCTTGGACCAATGATGATTCGATTACGTTGCATGGTAGGCTAGTTGTTGACGTGTTGTTTTTTTTAGTTTAAACAAATGTTTTTTCTTACTTCAAGATAATGGATGATTTTATCACTTTTTTACAATTATTCGTAATATTTATGATATCGAGTGGTGTAGCTATTACAGCCGTATTATATCCACATTTTCCATTGAGTGTAGAATTATTTACTAAAGCTTTTGTATTTCGGGGTCTAATGGCATTGTTTACCAGTGATACAAATGATCTTAAAAATTCACATTCACATTGTACTATAAATGCAACATCAAGTTCTGAATCAGAATACGCTTGTCTAAGATTATCACATGGCTTGTCTTTCAAATATGATAATTTATATGCATATCAACGTATGTAAAATGATAAATGAAAGTGATGTCATTTGATAACGCTATTTTGACTATAGGTTATGGTATATCGGCACCAAAATGTAATCAAACATCTTGGATAGCATGGTTTTTACTGATACAATATTTCTTTTTGGCTAAAAGATTTCTTACATCATTATTAACAGCTATGTTTGGGTAGTTATTAATATTTAATTTAATACTATTATATTTATAATCTGTATTAATACTCATTGTTTCATTCTAGTTTAACTGGTGCCCGAGTTCAAAGTCAATCCGAACAAATTTGGATGTACAATCGTTATGAAATTGTCATGGAATATGCAAAACGTCCTCGTCTACCACCACCATTTGTTGTTATATCATACATATTCATGTTGATTACCAGTGCTAGCGGAAAATGTGTTCAAAAATTGAAAGAACATGCTGATACAACACACATAAATAGAGCAAGAGCACAAAGTACAACTAGTACTAGTAATACAAAAATATTATCCAATAATAGTCAAAACAATCGTTTAATACAGCCATTAACAGATAAAGATGATCCGGACGATGTACAACGAGATACTACATGTTTAGGAAGATTTTTAAATTGTAAACCGTGTAAACAATTAATCGAAAGTGCAAAAGAAAGAAATGTAAGTTTATTCTTACTTTATACTAAAATAACAATTAAGAATGAATGAAAACATAACAAAAGTAATGAGAGATGTTAGAATGAAGATGATAAAGTTTTTCAAAGAACTCGATCAAAATCGATATTTTCTATTTTTTCAATTTCTATTTTTAAAAAATTTTTGATCGTACTCAAATAATTACACAGTGATATAAACAATAGAACAGGTATTTAATTCAATTGATTATATATATGATTAATTACTAAGAAGTTATTTGCTAAAAATATCTTTCCCTATTAAAGGTAAACAGATATGACAGTTAATCAATTATATATCACAAAAAGTTTAGTGACATTGATTACATATGACAATCAAAAAATACAAGCATAGATAGACGTTGTTTAATAGAGCATGATAATTTATAATATATTGTTAGATTGTTTCAAGTTTACAAAGTAGTGATGAATCAAGTACAAAAATAGTGATGATTCATGAAATATACACATTACTCAAAAGTTTGACATGAAAAAAAATAAATACATTTAAGAATATGGATATATATGATGAGCATTGGATTCCATCTATTCTATTCACTCTTTTTATCTATATTTAGTTTCTAAAATATTTTATATGCTCTATTGTTTCTATTGTTAGGAAAGTCAAAAACCATCATGGGAAGATAGTGAAGCTAATCTCTATTGGAAATATAAAGCTGAAGAATTTTATGCTAAAACACAAGAAACAGATAAAACTCAAGGAAAACTGGATAGTTTAACAAATAGGTATATAGAAATGACACTTTATATACTGTTAATCTATTCTTAATTGAATATATCTATTCTTAGTGTAACTAATGTTCAAAAAGATATTGATGTTCAACGAAAATCATTGAGACAAATCAATGATCGTGTTGTTTCGTTAGAAAAATTAATGGTCGACAGTCATATTTTGTTAGAAAAAATTCGTGCTACACTTCAACAAGAAGGTATAAAAACTTTTGAAATAATTCATTTTTAGTTTGACAATGAACTTTTTTTTCTTTTCTTTTTTTCCAGATAAACCACTGCCTGATCAAAAATTTATTCATATTCTATCACGAGAATCACCGTATGTTTATACAAATGAAGCACGTTTCCCAGTTACAGAGAAATATATTCCTTGGGAGGTATGAAGAATTGTTTTGTCCGTTAGAAAACCTATAATACTTCATAGGATATACAAATTATTTTACTCTATAGATTGGATTTGATCTTTACGATCCAACGGTGATAACACTGCCAAAAGAGCATGCTTGCTTTCGTGATGACGAAAAACCATTCGTTGAACCAGATCTGTGTGTATTTGCACTATGTCATCTATCAGATTAAAATTTACTTTTTTCTTCTAGATTAAAACGTTCACGATTAACATCCAATACTGATGATTTAATTCGTCCAGTTTCCGTTGATGTATGGCCAGCAACACCAACGGCTACGGGAAGTTTTCGTGCTTTAGAACCGTCTACTCCCCCAATAATGTGGCCATCTGATTTTCCAATGCCAGTTGCTGATTATAAATGGAATCAAAAGGTTGATATTCAACTTCCAGACGGCAAAAAAGTAATAGATAATTTACATATATATATATATAAATGATGTCTTATTTTTTCAATTTTTATAGATGATTGTTGATCGAAGAACATGGGTAACAAAACCCGGTGAAGAAATACCCATTTATCGATTAGACACTCAATTACTGATACCATTGTACGTACAAAAATGAAGAATTTTTTATGTTTAGTATAGAATCTAAATAATTTCTGTTTGAAGAACAGAAGTCCAATGGGTCGAACGGGTTGTCGTGGTCGTGGTGCTCTTATTCGTTGGGGTCCAAATAAAACGATAATGGCCATTATTACAAGATGGAAAAAGTTACGCGGGTATGTGTAATTATTGGTAGTAGACAAAAGAAAGAAAAAAAATAATCTACGAAAATGTTTTTTGATGTTATTAAACTTACTATATTGAAATATGATATATGAACATTTGTTATAGACAATTTGTCATTGTTGATGGACAAAAAATGCTTGAGGCAATGGTATTCAAAGATAAATTAACAGGTGACTGGAAATTGCCTGGGGTTAGTATTGAATCAATTAGTTGACAATCAACTACTAACTCAAAATGTGTATATATATTTTCAGGGAAAAATACTTGGTGTTGAATCTCCTTATGGTGCTGTTTGTAGAAGTTTTAATAAATTAGCATTTCAAGATGAAGATTCTGAACATAGTTTATCATTAACAGAGAAAGATATGGTTGATGTAAGTCATACAATTTTTAACATACATACATTGATAATCTCAATTTTATCTCTTAATAGCATTTTTCATCATTTGCTGATGAAGGACGAAACGATAATACATCATTTGAATCACATATGGTGTATAAAGGTGTGTATAGATCTTGTTTGTAAAAAAGAAAAGAGAATCTTATTGATTTTACTTCTTCAGGATATATTGATGATCTTCGTAATACAGACAATGCATGGGTCGAAGCTGAAATATGGAATTTTCACTATGGTACAGCCATTCAATTTCCAAGTTTAAGAACAGATGTAAATGAATCTCTTATATTATTGACACTTCATTTTAACTACTATATTTTTATTTTAATATTTTTCTAGGGTGTTGCATTATGGAAAGATGTTACATATAATTCTCGAGGATTTTTATTACAAACTTCTATATTACGTGAGATAGCTCGAATCCATGATGCTTATTTTGAATGAGAGTAAAAAACATTTATTTTTTTTTTACTCAAATTACTCGCATAATAGTTAGCATGTTCATAATACAAGTCATTTATTATTTGCAATATTAAAACATTATCGTTCGACTGACACCATTGTTACCGTTATTTATCTAAAGGAATTTTTTCATTGTGTGAATAATTTTTTTTCATTAATTGTGATATTTCTTATTTTCTTTTCTTATTGTTGATGTTTGTTGTTATTCACTGTTTATCTCTCTTTTCTCATTCCATTTTTCTAACGTTAAAAACGCAAAATTTGTTTGCTTGCGTCCGACTTTCCTAAAAATAAATTTTCTACCAGTGGGAATAGTATTCTTTCTCTATTGTTCTCTTTCTTATGTTCTCTAACTAAAAAGCTATGTGTTATCCAAAATCTATCGTTCCATATACTTTATAATAATTTTTGTGATTATTTTTTTGTCCTATATATGAACAATGTAGTTCATTTTTCTTTTTGTTTGTGAATGTTTTGTATATGTGTACAAATATCATTTACATTTTTCGATACATAGACTGCTTAATGATGAGCAAAAGTGCGTTTCTATTTTATTCTTGCCGAAATATAAGAATAATTTGACAACAAAAATTCATCCCATATATGTATAATTGGCAATCTTTGAATAATTAAATACTGTCTAGAAACGACAGTCAAAGTTCTTAGAAAGAAACATTTTAAATATAATATAAGAAAGAAACAAAATCAAAAACAAACATATAAGTTATTTAAAATGAGATTAAATGTAAGTTAGAAGACATTGCTATGCAGGTCATTTCTCTCTTATTTTGTGTTGCACAGTGAAAAGAAGAACAGATATACATAAGGATTAAAAGATTTTACGAACATTTTTTGACTTATAATTGCTTAAAACTTTTCGACAAATATTAGTTGTTAAAAGTATGACGAACGAATTAAAAAAAAAAGAGACCACAACTATGCTTGCATCCATGATCTAATCAGTCAAGGTAATCTGATAAAAGATGAAATAGAGTCCATTAGTTAGGCCACGAAGGTTTTAACCTATTAAAAATATGTACGGAAGTAAATATGGAAGACATTAAGCAATTGAAAAACAATATGAAAGACATAGCAACACAATTATACACTCATAAATGTAACAATATGAATTATACATAAAACCATGATAAATAATGAGCATGTCGTGACAAACACGTACAACATATATATTTACACTCATCATTCAAATCTTTATTTGTTATCGTTGTTGTTGTCGTATATCTTCGATAATATCTGTGAATAAATCAATTAAACTTTTAATACCAATTAAATACCCATCTTCCTGAAAAGAAGTTAATTTTAAATATCATCAATTTTTTATCACAGTAAATGAACTTACATGTGTACCACGCATCCATGAACGATCGTGTGTGAGTTTTATACCTGATCTTAGAGGTTGTGTTTTTCCAAAATCAATCATCCATATCGATGCTTCATTATTATCGTGAATGAAGAGTAATGATGAGCCAATTAACTATAATATATATATATATAAATAACTAATGATACAATACTAATAATTCAAATGAATTATATCTGTTCACTGTCTTCCCACTCATTCTCAGCAATGCCATCTACTTATTGTTAACACGTTCTTATTTCTTCGGATTAGCCCTATTTATTCGTTTCTACCTTAACGATATCCCCACACATTTTTTATCTTGTTATAGAATCTTAATCATTAATTGAATACAGTCAGATTTTTATTCAGAGTATCTTCTCAAAAAAAATAAATGGACATATTTTTGGCTCAGACCTTATGACTTACTTTCGGATATAGTTTTCCGGAAAACCTAGTTGTTCACTATGTATCATAGTGATCCCATCAAATTTTTTGTACGTCTAGTATCTATGATAACAATTTGAGCTTGCATGAACAAAGTTTTCATGAGATCGGTGTGATACGTAATATGGTAGAGTTGAGGTTTGAACCAGGAACATGCAAACAGATCACCTTTTTCTCAGCATTATTGGTAAAATGCTTATACGTTTGAGGAGGACATACCATGGAGAAGTAAGGGACTTATTATTTTACAGAAATTTCTTTAGTCTACCAGACTGACTACTTGAAAAAATTTTGTGACTCGAGAAAAAGAAGAAAATACAGTTCGAAAGGCGAAAATTAGAGTTTTTTTAGCTTAAAGTGACAGAAATTAAAACATTCATATTTAATGAAATCGTTGCAGAAAGATTGGAATGGTCTGAAATTGTAGAGGACTCTTGACTCTACCATACACCCTGTTTAAATCATAAGTCGATTTTTTTTGTTTGAGAAGGGATCAAAGTTACAAACTGCACAAAAGCAAAACAGTACATAGAGTGCACTACCTAGACCTAGATTGTAAAACGATGAGTTCGATTATCAGTGCTAACTAACCCATACCTCATGAGTCTGAAAAAATTTTGATCGATATGATATACTTTTCAATTCATTTAATCGATTCAAATAACGAATCTAAATAGTGAAGAAAAGTTGAAAAGATGTTTGGTTAAACGTCTGCATACTAACCGCTCTTGGCAATGAATTTCCCACGAACTCCACGATTTGTTTTTTAACTTCGTCTCGACGTCTTATCCGTTGAAATTCTTTTGACATTAAACCACGGGATTTCTAAAAAGAAGATTGAGTATCAAAAATCAGTTTATTGTTTTTCTTCAATTCTTACTTTAATTGCTTCAATTCGAAACCCAAGCTCAACTGTTGAACTTAATGTTTCACGCCATATCATATAGCGTGGTTTAACAACTTTTTTTATTTCATTTTCTTCAGCCGTCGGCGCTGATGGATCAATTTGTATCATTTTATTATAAAGATCCTATAAGACAATGTGTAATGATTCCTTAATAAATAAAAACTATATGCTACAAAATATAACTTACATGTCTAGGCTCGGGATCTTTTTCAGATTTTGCCAAATCTTCTTCAAGATACGTTCGTACACCAATTTTACAATCCATAATACATGGATCTCGAAATGTGGCTAATAAATCTTGAATTTGAATGTAATCTATAAAGAAATTCCAAACAAATAGACCATGGTTTATTACAAGTACGGCTGCCTACTTTTTCCTTCGTCATCACGGACAGTGCCAATATAACGTGGAACAAATGTTCTTAGTGCATCTGTTTGAAGTAACTCGAAACATCGTTTTTCTTGTTCACATAATTCTTTTAGTATAAAGCCATCATGGTAACCTTCTTTAAATGTGCCTGTTATAGAAAAAACAACAACGCATATTTCATCTGCTGAAATTCTACCAATACACACACACTTTACCTGCATGACCTACTAATTGAATCCATTCATAGCGTTCTGTTTTCCTTGTAAAATGTAGTAACGACGTCACCACTTTAGTAAATGCTTTCCAGTTTGGTGTATGCTAAACACAAAAAAATGTATTTATTTAAACAACGACAAATCACTTTCAAAACAATCTAAATCGATCTGAACATTCATCCTCAAAATATCTCGTAAATGCGTCCGTAAAACGGTTCGTTGACGGTTGTCGTAACGGCATTTTTTAGTAAGCCAATCGTTTATGTTATGTAGAAGAGGATTAAATACTTTTTGAATAATGTTGAGTAGAAGTCGTAGTGGAAATCTTTTTTGTATTTCTTCTGAAAGATTTCGAATTTCAGTATGCAATGTCCCGCATTCATATTTTTGCTAGTTTCTTACAGCTTTTTAACTTAAGAAGTTGAACTAGTGGAAGAACTGCGGATTTTGACATTTTTAGGTAAGACAACAGCTATGATTTTTTTCAGTCAGTCGATCGCACTAGATTCCAGCTAGAAAATATCGAAAAACCGCAGTTATAGACTATCTCGCTTCTATCCAGCATTATCCAAAAGTATTCAATTTCATCCTTTTTAAAACGAATAGTAGTACAGATAAATAACTGTCCTTTTCTTCAAAAACTTACAGTTCTTTCTCTTCCTAGGATACACAAGGCACTGAAGCTCTATTACAGAAGTGGCCTTATTTCTCTCACTGGCACTTTAGAAATCACTATTGATCGTATGACTATAGGATAATACGGTTCATTAACTTGCAAAAAAATGATGCGTTCATAGTGACTGACAACTAACCATTTATTAACCTAACTAACGACCTGCAGCGTTCAGTTAACAGTGTAAGTTCTCATTTTTATTTTCGTTACTGTTAACAAGCCGTTTCTTCTTTTGATGATTAATAAGTGGATAGTTAATGAGCAATGAGTAGGATAAAAAAAATCAATAAAGCAATAATAAGAACAATATTTTGGGGGTAATGAGTTAAAAATTGACATCTGCTAATATACAGTAATAAATATGTCTTCAAATGAAAGGATACCTTTTTTTCAAAGAAAATCGTATACGAATCGTTTTTTGTCGTTGTACGGTCAGAAAATAAGCCGTGAACTATATCGTTTTTGATGACCAAGGCAGAATAAGAAGTTTTACAAAAATTCTAAAAATTAGGTCATTAACGAGCAGAAAACGTACTTATACTGCAAAGTAGCAAAAAATAGATCCGTGATACGGGCAAGCTATGGAGCAGAACAAGATTCCGATGACATTTCATCTGAATATTTCTCTCAAGAAAACCTCTATTGCTGATTTTGGTAACATCCCGCAAGTCTCAACTATTGTCTGACGAGGAAACTAAAACGGTAATGTGTCACTAATGCATGTATGCTCTTCGAGTGAATTTGTCTGAGATGCTTTTGATGTTGAAAGCAGACCGTGACACATTGCACTTTAACGCGATATAAAAACATATCTGACCGATAATATTGGGTACCATCGTTTCATTTTAAAAACAACATTTTAAAAAATGTATTCTCACAATGAAAGAGAACACATTTCATTCTTTTTTTTACCGTTCGTGCTTTATCTTCATAATATTTATTATCAATAGGTGAACTGGCTGCCGATCTCATTATAATGTTGTTATCATCATTATTTAAACCGTTCCATAGTCCCAGTAATGCTGCTTTAACAAGACTAGAGTTTTTTGTTGATGATGACGAAGGCGATAGAGGGCAAGTATATTCTCTTGTTTCTGATATATGAGAGTCATTTAATGGTAGGTCTAACTTAGATGGACGTTGAATCGACGGCGATAACATATGATTCATTGTCTCATTGGATTCCGTTTGTGTTGCTGTATCTCGTAATATTCTTATACTGGGAATGACCCCATTTCTGCTCGTTTGTACCAGTGTTGATTGTAGACTGTAACGTGGTGTGGAATTTTGTCCTGCTGGACCAGACTGCTCTGATTCATCTTGATCGGCTGATTGCGTGCGACGCGATGGATATGAATTTGGATTTGTGGATAATGATGCTGATTCTAAGAACTTATTTGTTGATGTGTGTGGTGTTGCTGTTCCACTTAGTTGTAGTGCAACGCCGAATAATGCACTACGAATGTCGGGTTGCATCAATAAAGTTTAGTAATAAATAAATCTAAAATAACTCTCGTTTACATCATGTTTCCGTCATCAAATTTATACATTTATAAATTATTATCATTATTTTATTAAATCAATTATGTACGCCTGAATAAGGGCGTACATAATTTTTAACTTATTAATTTGTAAGGAACTTAAAACATTTACAAGTTATAATAAGGCAATACAAAATTAATTCCCAAACAGTTACCAAATTGATTCGAAAATCTGCTCAAAACACTGTGCATGTCGTTTTAGATGCTAATCGGAATAATCTTATCCGACTCTGTAGTATATCTAAGCATTGATAAAAATACATAGCTAAGGATGTGTGACTCAAAAGGATCTGAAGGACATTAATGTCCTACCTATTCTAGAGAACACCATAAAAAAAAGTATTCAAGGTCGGAGGATAGTGAAGTAACAAACCATATGATTTTGGAAGTCGAGATGAATTACTATTAGAATTTCAGAAATCTTTCACGATCCTATGAATTTTTCCACAAGTTCATATAAGTTCTTATCAGAAGATCGTGTAGCATGAAGAAATATTGAGAAATTTGACAAGAATTTTGTGACCTTTTCTTCTCAAAATTTTATAAGATCTTGTGAGGATTTTGTATGATTCTTTAAATATGACTTAGTAAGACTTGCCGAACTGTGATGTAAACTTAACCGCAATTGAGAAGTGTCACAGAAAATTACATGGTAACGAATCTTTTTTTATTATCTATTTATCGAGTAAAAAGAGGTGGGAACGAAGAAATACACACACCTCATAAAAAACAAAACGCAAACATTGATGATTTATTAAAGATTGTTTTTGTCTTTAATAAAACATCAATGTTTTATAATAAACGTTAATGTTTAATAAAACATCAATGTGTTTAGTATCTGTCTTTTCTTAATCAAAAGTTTATAAATGCACACATGCTATTTTTCTCATATCCAGATATTTTTAATATGTGACGTACTATAAACGATTATATTAATTTAAAACCATAATAATAATAATATCAGTTCTTACAATCAAGATTATGACTCCACATGATGTCAAGGATAAAAAAAGAAAAATATACAACGTTATAAAGTTTTTTTTTGTTTTTCTCAATCCTTATACCTTCAAATAAAACATTTTTATCTTTTCTGTTCTCATACCACCTACAATCGTTGAACTGATAGATACTATGTCACTGATTATGTATATAGTAATAATTTGTTTAAAATGAAAAAATCAAAAATTTCATTCGAGAAAGACAGAATTAAGGTACGACAAGCAACACAACTTAGTGAGTTCTGCTTTAGTCTCTAGTAAGTGATAAGCGATTGTAAACTAAACTAAATTAAAATTGTATCAAGTTGAATTTCACATTTCATATAAATTTATTCTTCAAACCGCACAAAACTTGCATATTTAATTCAGAGAATTGTAACTAATTTGTCTTTCTCCATGGTGAACGAGCGTGACTAGTAAGTGGATGGATGATCACTTCCCAAGATCGAACCATAAGTATGGTACTTTTCACAATTGTCTCAATGTGCAGTGAAAGTTACTAGATACAGTTTATGTTAAAGGAATAATAAATTCTTAATGGAAAGAAAGAAGCAGAATATGTGCAGTTGTCAGTGATATTATGCTCCTTCTCATCGTGTGAAAGTTGTCGTTCTTTGTTTGATGAGAACAGAGAATGATAGAACCCTCACACGGTGTGGATTGAGTTGTGTTATTTGTCGGACCTTAAGTCTGTCTTTCTCGAATGAATCCACCTGACGAGCCCCTTGGGAAAGGTCGAAGCCAGTCGTGGTATCTTCTTTTGATTCTTCCAGTAATGAGTTCTGTTTGAGTCTCTAGTAACTGATAAGCGATTGTAAAACTAAACTAAATTTGACTATATATACTTAGCGTATTTCATATAGCCTATGACGCTGCGACATGCACGAGTGATATATACAGAAGAAATACATTTTTTTATTCATTTTTCTTCGTCTTTTTTTTCGTGTTCTTTTTTTCAAATATATATATTTTATTCATTATTATGCCCTTCTCTCTAAACGATATACTGTATAAATACCGAGAGTATAGATGGTAACAGCTGCATAGAGTATTATAATGTATAAAACTCAATGGCTTTTATTTAAAATATAATGAACTTCAATTCCGTCTAAATGACTTTCTCCTCATTTACATAGACATTTAATGATAACAGTGATGCATTAAAAAAACAGCGACAGCGGGAGTGGACGCTTATTGACATCTGAAACATCGACTCAAATTTAATGAAAAATGTGAGCTCGACATTTGCTCTATATGCTTCGTTATTTGGTAACCCACTAACTGATCTAATATTACAGTGTAGAGTATTGCGTGGTAAAGTTTTTTGTTTCTTGAGCATGTACACCAAAACCCCTGAAAAGTTATTTTATCCTTAGACTGTGAAAAGAATTTGTCATCTTTTTCCGTTTGTCTTTATATTTAAAAAAGAATGTCGCTTGTGTAGCGCAAGACTGAAAACGCATAGTGTTTTGGAATTTGCATGGTAAAACAATGGAGGATTCAAACGGCGCTGCCTGATTCAATTAGTAAAAGGTGGGCCCTAAGTCCTGAAGCCGATGAGTCTTAGTATTCTATATTCATCGGTTTCAAGACTTAGGATCCACCCTTTATATTCTAAAAAAATAGAAGAAAGATGTGTTGCTCCTGGATTCTCATAAAAGGAATTCGATAGAAAATAATACAACAGCGAGGCATGATTTTTTCTTTCTTCTGCTCGAACTCGAGACTACTCTTGAGCGGACTACTACAGTAACTTACCTTTATCACACGTTTAGATGACAATAATAATTGGATATTAGACAACTTGCGACACATAGATGATAAAAATATACTATGCACGTATTTTTCTGGCCTGTAACATGTGTAGCAAGTGTTTGGAAAAACGTTGATAGACATCTTTCTATACAATTTGTAAAGATGTATTGATACAATTAACTTTATCAGAAAAACTGAGAGACAATAAGTAATCTGTCTGTCTAACATCTTTGAGATCGAAATAAGGATATTGTCAAGAAAAAAAACACATGTCTGCATAAATTAATCTATGAAAATGAATGATCTCTATTCTTTATTGATTAACAGTATTTATAGATTCTGACTTTCATCCTCGTTTGCTTATTGTTGATGTAGACCTTGTTAGAATCGTGCATTTGTATTTCGAACGTCAACGTATTTTTCAAAAATATTGAAATTTGTCTAAACCAATATTCTGCTAATACATTCTTATGTAACATCTGCTTTAGTTTTCGCTAAGTAAAAGTAAATTACCCATCGGGGTTAATAACAGGAAATCAAAACAAACAAAGTCTTATTTAGCTGAATATCCGAAATAATGCGATACACCATCATATCGTTAAGAAAAAACCTGTACATTGTGACAATAATCAAAGAAATTTGTTCCATATAAATTTTTACTCTCTTCGATGATGCACTCAGAGGGTGGCGGTGGCGCAAACTTTTCCACCTGCCGGCACCGACTAGCGTGAGAGTGAAAAACTTCGAAATCAACGGCGGAAATTTGTACTCTTTACAGAGGTACTATTTTCTGTTAAAAATTATGGCATGCAAAAAATGGCACTTGTCACTGTTTTTTTTCAAGTACTAAATGCAAAAATTTAATCATATGAGAAAAGAAAATAGACATTCTGTTAATGGGAGAGAAAGTAAAAAATATTCCTTTTATAAGGATGGAATAATTGCTATGAACTGAATTTTGTCTGCTTTATCGCGTCCTAATCGTACACACCTTACGTTGAATATAAATCCCATTTCGCTGAACATATTCATCATCTAGCCACGTCTTCTAGCTGACGTGGCTAGACTCTCACTACGCTACTTCAGCTGTCATGGTTTGTACAGCCATCTGTTGTAGCTTACATGGAATAAGATCTGAACTAGGTTAAGGTCAGCATCACTAACGAGGGAATGTCCTCAAGTGTGACCCTCAGTTTCAAATGGATACATACTAGTTTTTAGAGCTCGACGAGCTGATTATGATGGCACAAAGCATTTTCCGCCATGGCTCTTGAAGATCCGATTTTCTGTAAAAAAATAACTAAAACCTTTCTTAATGAGGCGTAATTGTAGCGCACACATTTCTGATTAAAATGTGACCTCTCCCAGCGCTTCACGACCTTTCTTTGCAAAGTTATAGAATTTATAAGAAAAGCTCTAAATTAATTTGTTCTTATTTCTGTAGCTTTGAACTGACAAAACCGTTCAATCTGTTGTCAATCGGTGACGATTGTGAAAGCAACGGAGAAAATGAATATGGCACTCCATAAACACAGCACTCGAGACGTTTTTTCGATTTTAACAAACACCAATTATTGCAATTGCCGACGACTGCATTAAAAAAAGTTTTTCCGGCGGCGGCGCATGAAAAAAATATAGACGGTCGGCGTTTCGCCGGCGCACATGTCTGGATGCACTGGGTGGTATTAATTAGACGATCAACGCATGGGTTCATAGGAAAGATAGCATTAGGCTAGTAATGAATCGGCAGTGCATGTTGATTTATTAAACTTTGTACACACTAGAAGAGCTGATTTTAGTGAGTATAAATATACTAAAAACGATGTTTTCAGGAATATAAATTTTTTCTTTTGAAAAATATAATCACGTGATATAAGCGGTAAATTTATAGGTTTCGATAAATCCTTGTTTCTAGCAAATTTTAGAGTTGTATTTCAATGATTTGTTGGTTTTTCAAACATTTTCTTCAAAATAAATGTCGACTTTGTGATCTATGCAATAAATTGCATCAAGTGATATACTTAAGAGAAGTTTCTGGAATAAAAATGTTTTGTAAGAAGTTTTTTATATCTCTTTCAGACATCTTTCTAAAAATAACTTTTCTCATGAAACATTTTAAACTAATGTGGCATAAGCTGCCAATTTTAGTGAGCATACATAAGCTAAAAAAACTACATTTTCA